ATGTGGTGCCAAAGTCATAGGCAATGACTACTTTGTAATTGTCTTGTTGAGATATCATGGTGTGGAAAAGAAGAAGAAGAAGAAGAAAAAGAAAGTATATGCTGGTATTTTTCTCGGCTCATGTCACTGCTTAACGCAGTGTTTCAAAAACTTATGTGGCTCATGTTGTACTGTGTATCTTACTTTTTTAACTTTTTTTTTTTTTTTTTTTTTTTCTTCTTCTTCTTTTCTTCTTCTTCTTCTTGTTGGGAGAGTTTTCAAACATGGTTGTTCCATTTTCTGCTGAAGATTATCCTATCGTCATAGGTATTGACTTTGGTATGTATGGTGTAATAAAAAGAAATAAAGTCTGAATTTTAAATGTCATGTTCAGGAACGACTTATTCTGGCGTGTCTTATTCTTTTATGAATGATAATGAAATTGTTGATATCAATAAATGGTATCTACAGTCCTTTTTGTATTTGGTGTGTATATAATAACATCATATATAGGCCAAGGCAGCCAGATTATAGTTATCCCAAGGTAAGAATATAGACGAATGCTATTTAACTAGTCTTATTTTATTGCATGACAGGTTCCTACAGTGTGTGTAAGTTTGTTGGACAATCTCAAAAAGCTATGTATTTACATTTTATATTCTATTTAGCAATACAGCCACGAAACTGGAGTAAGAAAAAAAAAAGGTACAAGTGTATTTGTTATTCAATATGTAGTATAGAAATTAGTTCAGTGGGGAAGATTCGCAAGATCCAATAAAGCAGACCAAGGAAACATACTCGTCATACAACAATTCAAAATATACCTCGATGAAAACCCACAGAGACCATTGGCTAATTTACCATTAGGCTTAACTCCTACTGTTATCATATCTGGTAATATATATATATATATATATATATATACGAATAAACTAAGCTGATTCAACCTTAGACTATCTGGAAAAAATGTTTACCTATGTCAAGACATACATGAATCAAAAGGGATTCAGCAACGATTTTGAAAAAAAGGCCCGTTTCTGTATCACAGTAAGTGTATCAAATACAGAATTGTGCCTTTATCAACACGACCTCTAGGTTCCAGCTATGTGGTCCGATCAAGCAAAGCAAATCATGAGAAATGCAGCTATTCAGGCTAAATTGATCCATTTGACAGATCATCGTGATAGGCTCATGTTGATTTCAGAACCTGAAGCTGCAGCTCTCTATTGTGAAAGGACGTGTGATAAATTTGATATGAAGCATGGAGATGAATTTATGATTTGTGACGCTGGAGGTACCTAACAACATAGAATATGATTCATCCTTTCATTTTTAAACACAAACAGGCGGAACGGTTGATTTGATCGTCTTTAGGCTCGAGAAAGGATTGGATGGAAAGACAGTATTTAGGGAGAGTACAAAAGGACTAGGAGAGACGTGCGGGTCGATGTTTATCGACTTGAACTTTAGAAAGCTGTTACGAAAGAGATTAAAGAAAGTGTTGCGTCCATCAGCTAATGGTAAAGTGGAGATCCCTTCAGCACCTTTTGAACATATGATGGATGTCTTTGTTGGTAAATATGAATGAAATGTTCAAAAGGAGAAGGCTAACTTCTAACTGTAGACAGCTCTAAGCCATTGTTTGACAACACTGATGACATTTACTGTTCTCTGCCTATGGGATTTGATTTACTCAGGAAAACAGACCCATCAATAGGCTTAGATGAAGGCACGATCACGTTTACAAAGGAAGAAATAAAGAAGAATGTCTTTGATCCTGTCATCCAAAGGGTCATTGGTCTCTGCCGTCAACTACAAAAGGATACTACCAATCTAAAGGCTATTTTCATGGTGGGTGGTTTTGGCTCTTCTGCTTATCTTTATCAACAAATGGTAAAAGAGTTTTCACCTGAAGGAATCAAGATAATTCAGCCTGATAGACCAGGTAAACCAAAAAAAAAAAAGAATACAACAATTGACAACTCTCTTTGTAGAAATGGCAGTGGCTCGTGGAGCAGTCATCTTTGGTTTGAATCCTACAAAGATTGCTACACGAATCCCAAGACTGTGGTATGGCATCAAGAGTGCATATCCATTTGACTATGAAATGGATCCTGATGAATACAAGGTGATTCGACCTGATGGTAGTGTTCGATGTGATAATCGTTTTTCTACCTTTGTTGAAAGAGGCAAACCTTTAGGTAATAGATATCCTTTTTTTTTATTATTTTCTTCCTTAATAACCCCTGGATATAGATTTGGACAGCTGTATCGTTCGGCATTTTACCATCTACGCTCCTCACAAGACAGCGTGCTCTATCTTTGCTTCTGATAGTGAAACTGAACCAAGATATGTGGTCCCTTCTCCTCACAATAATGTCAAAAAGGTGTTTGACTGTGATATCCCTATGCCCCATTTACCCAACATAAAGCACGGCGATCCTATACCACTGACGATAAAGGTAATAATCATGTTGAATGAACCTATCTAATATTTTACAGATGTACTTTGGTGAAAATGAGCATCGAGTGGAAGCCGTTATTAACGATGTTACTTATAATGTTTCCTGTAAATTTGAAGTAGAATAAAGATGTTTTTTATTTATACAAGTTTTTTGGCTGTAAAGAAATTTTTATAGTAATGCATCTGCCAGAAACAAACAACACCCAAGACGGCAATTTGAGCAATGGTCCACCACACTGCACGAGAGTTGATCAGTTCGGATTGATCACGGAATGCTTCTTCTCGTTCCTATATACAAGGTAAGCCTTTTTGATTTTATACGTACACACAAACTTACACGCTGAGCATTTTGTTCAATTTGTATATCTTCAACACGTTCGTTTAATTCATGTACTCTTTGTACCAATTCTATATAAATAATCATACAAAGTTTAGTATTATCACTTTTCTTCTTTCTATTGATCATCTACCAGAGACGCCATCCGCATGATGATCATGGTGGTCAGTTGGATCATCAAAGTCCATATCAAAAGTAACTCTCTATCATAAAAAAAAAAACGAATCGTTATATATATATATAGTTATGTAAGGTTTTCTTACTGTCTTGGTATTGTCAAACCAGGCGTTTGATGAAGTAGAAAGACAGATGGCATGGTCTCCAGATTCAGCAGAAGTAAAAGTAAAGCGTCCAGATGAACCACCTTTTGTGTCTACAACTCTGTGACCTTGAGGAAGTTCCTAATGATGAACTCAGTGGGTGTTTTTTTAAAAAAAAAAGTGTAATAATATGAACCTCGACTGTGATTTCCATCTTGACATCCTTATTTTCAATCCATTCATTTTGAGTTGAAGAGAACTGCTCTGTCTTGTAAACACCTATTGATGTGTTTAATAAAAAATTAGGGATACCAAAACACTAATTACCAATGACCATGGTTTCTTTTGGTAAGTCTTCAATAAAGCATTTCTTCTCGGAACCTTCGAGATAAAAGTATAATGCCTGAGTATTGATTACACACAAGGCGAGTAATACAAGTGCAGAAAACCGTATGCTTGACATGTCTAATAACGCACGCGTGTGTGTCCTTGAAAGCAACAAGCGAAAATTAATGACTGAAGGAGTTTTTCAATGTTAAAATTAATAATCCAATCAGGACTCGCCAATAAAGTTGAATTAATTTGGCTGACTTCTCTCTCAAAGAGTTCAGGGCACGTGACTCTGCCCGATCACTATACTATTTGTACCAAAGAAACATTTCATTTGTATGCTGACTACTTTAAGTACGGTAATGAAAAAAGGATGATGGTGACGGTGGCGCTATCGGTGACGGTAATGCAAAAAGGGTGACGGATTGGTGATGGTAATGAATTATTTCTCTTTTTCCTTTGCCGCTTTGCAATACAACATTGCAAATTAATCTTTCAACTAAAAATAAAACTAAATTACTTAAAAGGGCTTATTCAAGTATGACTAAAGATTTAGAAAGTTTCAAATTACCATTGAAATGGAAACCGGGTGCTGATTTCATGAGCAAAATACTATTAAGCGATCCAGAAATAATGCGTATAATTATTCACTCTCTCTCATTGGTAATGCATCGATATTTGTATTACGCGTTTGAAAGTACTAATATATAAGTCGTATATAGATGTAGATGTTCCTCCTGATAGCTACTCAGTAGTTCCGACTAAGTGGGCTGACGGTAGTCGGTCAGACATGGTTTATGCGTCCACAAAATTCCCCCGATTTTAATTGAAATCCAATATCAAGTTAATCAAGAGTTCATGCTTAGGCTTATAAACTATACGTCTAATGTTTATAAGCGTTACAAAGTATTACCCATCGTTCTAGTTATTGTCACCAAATCTTTTTCTAGCGCTGAATTTCACCGAAATTATTGCTTTGGATGCTACATATCAGACTAATGGAAACAAAATGCCATTGATTAACGTTGTGCTATCAGCAACATAGGAAGAGTATCGCTACGCAATGTTCTTGTTGCTTCAGTAGTTGTTTCTAACGAGAAAACAGCGTCCTATGAATGGGTAGTCAAAGCCATGCGTGAGTTGCTCTGGTCGCAAGGAAATGTAGGGGCTTTCATTACGGACAACGAGAAGGCTTTGGTTAACTCGATCGAAAAAATTTTCCCGGAATCCATCCATGTGCTTTGTGGCTAGCACATGTCCAAGCATTTAACTTCGTAAATGGCTGGATGTTTTCCCGTTGAGAGCAAAGAAATAGCTGAATTGAACGAAGTCATTGGAGCAATGATATATGATACAAATAAAATCATTCACAATGAAGCAATCAAAAGGTGTAAAGATCTTGCAAAGCGCGCTTCGAGTTCAATGGTCAACATGGTGCAAAAGAAACGTGAAGTCCATGTAGCAAAGAAGAAGCAGTTGTTGAAAGAAGGTAGAAGATACCAATTTTTAGAAGAAAATGCTGCTGAAGAAGAGTACAATACTCAAGTTGAAAATGACTTTCAAAGCAAAGATAAAGAAATTGCCCAGAAGAAGGAACTGAAGATTTTGTCTTATTTTGACAGGTATAATATCTAAAGTTGATTGTATCTTTAGCCAGACTTTAATGATCATTTGAATACATTGTCCTGGAATATAAGGGAAAGTGTGCCTGTCCTTACGCTGGAACGATTCTCAACTTAGGCGTTCGTGCAACATCCCGTGTTGAAGGTACCCATTGGAGAATCAAAAACACTATGTAAACCACTGGAAGCCTTTATAGAACATTCAAGGCAGTCCATATGGTTATGCAAAAATCAGTAAGCGAAATTATCCAAAATGCCACAAAAGCCTAATGTTGTATTATAGATAGAATCGGAAAAAGAAGAGGTGCTTAAAGAAAAGAACAGCACGCCGATTTTCAGCGAGAAAGAAACCCAAGCTATAGGCCACCTTTTCGGGAAGGTATGCTTTTTCGCTATTTACAAAATACGGGCCGAGTTACATCTTGCCTGGAAAAGCGAAAGCTCTGGAGAGCACTACCAATGTGGTTGCCTCTCACGGTTAAATTTTGGACTTCTTTGTCAACGCATGATGAAAACCGATGGATATGCTGTGGATTTCCATGACATACCCAGTAGATGACTTTTAGACTATGATAAAGGCATTTGTTGGTCACAAAAATAATATTCTTATTTACATGAGCTTGCGGTTATGAAGTAGATCAAATGAAGACTGAAGGGTCAGAAGAAGCAGTCCAGAGGAAGAAGATTTCCTTTAATGATAAACTTCGGGAAAAGCTTTCCTTCTTACAGAATGACCAACAAAGAGAAGATTTACTTGATGATCTGACAAGATCATTAGAGAAGTGTAAAGCAGCAAGAATAGATTATGCTGATTATGTAGCTGTAGCTATCGTTAAAGGTTGCATGAAATCAACAGCGGAAAAAAGGTTGCTCTCCAGTTTTGAAATAGCTGAAAAAGAAGCTAAAAAAAAAAGCGAAACTGCTTTATCGAGAACAGACAGCAACAACATATTTCCCAGCACGGTACAATTGATTACGTCTGGTCATTCAAGAGAGATTTGGAAGACAGAATCGTTAACAACGAAAAGAAAAAGTATTGTAAAAGCAAAGCTTCATTGTCGCTAAAATATTGACTATTTGTAATAAGAAGAATATGATGATGAAAACTCTTGAGTTTTTTGTTCATCCTAAAATTCCTAGAGAATGTATCCTTGAAACAGTAGACGTAGGTGCAAATGGCTTTTGTGGATTCAGGTTTCTGGCAACAAACATCAAAGGTAATCAAGAATTATTTTGGGATGTTAAGCGGGATATGCTTCGATTTTATTACAAGAACAGAGACATATATTTAAAATACTTCGCAACAATGTTTGATCTTGATAGACTTGAAAGATTTGTCTCGTTTGGACTTGAAGCCATAGACAGTGGAAGAAAAGTAAGCTTTTGTCCACTCGAGTATTGGTTCAGTACGTCACAATGCGCACAACTTGCAGCGGATACTTATAGAGTCCCAATTGCAGTTTATCCATGCAACGTAACATTGCTGCCCGACGGTAACTTTACCGAGCCTCCGCTTTTATACTTGCCATTTGAAGGCCCAAAAGACAAAAAAACATACCACAGCCATTAGTTTTACAGCATGTCGGAGGCTGTCACTGGGGAACAGTCAAAGTTAGTAGAAAGCTCAAGATGGAATGGCCCATCATAGATGGAGGAGTAATTACAGCACGTATGAAGATGGGACAAAAACAAAGCCTCAAAAAGAATATATGGAGGGCATTGTCTATAAAAAAGCTGAAAAGAAAGCGAGTGACATTATAACCATTGAAGACTAGAAAATAAAATACATATATTCTGTATCCCTTCAACCAAAATCATGTAAATCTGAATATGTACGTATGGTATAATAGGAAATTAATACCGCTTTAAGATACAAGGGTAGCATTAAACCTAGTCAGGAAGTGCTAAGTAAACAGCTAGTTACTGTTTACTCATTCAAAAAAAAAACTTCCTATTTAGGCGGGACACGCAAAAAAAACGCCTTCCTATTTAGGGAGGACGCACTATTTTATTTCCTTTCTTGACGAGACACGCAAAGCTCTAAAGCTCAAGCAGTGCAGAGAAATAGCGGAGACCAGAACTTGATATACAGTTACATAATTTGCGTGTCCCTAGTAATTCCCTTTGAAATTAATAGAGAACAATTAGTGTTTTGATAAAAATCCAGTCTTTTTTGACGGTGATGGTGGCGCTATAAGTGACAAAAAAAGTTTGTACTCTGGCTGCCAGGTAGATTGTATCAAACCTCCATGCCTCACGCACTGTGTGTACACCATCTGAATATATTAAATTTTGTTATATAAACATCATATTAGACTTTCTTTCCCTTCATACATGAAAAGAGGTACTTCGTGTAGAGCCCAGATCAGACTGTACATACAGATACGAGGAGATACTCTTGATAGAGCAACATCTTTAAGCTTATGTGTACGACGGTAAGTTGAATTAAAGCAGCTGTCAACCTGTGACGATCTTTTTCTTTTTTATTTCCCCTTCAAAATGGGTAAAGCATTAGAAAAGCAAACAAAAGAAAAAGTGAACTGAATTTATGTAGCAAATAGAAGAGACAATACCGATGAAGATCCCATGAGTGATCACGATTCTATTTATAGCAATGATCAAGACATTCAATCGAGAACAGTTAGTTTATCTGATGTAACAACAGATAACGTCAATGACATTTTACATGAACAATTCAATCGCTTTCATCCTTCTTTACCTGCTGCTACTCTTGTTCACAACACTCCTTATTTTCTAAGTTCAGGCGATATCATCAAAAAATTTGGACTTTCACAGATACAATTTGAGGCTTTGTATCAAATTATTATGAGCAATAAACTAGGTATAACAACAACAACAACAACAACAATGATACTGATTTTAAATAGTCCCAAGACGAAGAATAGCCTTGGTTTCATTACTTCTTCCAAGAAACAACGTACCCGAGTGGTGTGTGACGCGTATTATTGCAAGAATACCCAATAATAGCGTCAAGCTAAACAAGAGATTACTGCAGTGGATTATCTCAATTTATGACATAATTGAATCTGATAACGAACAATATGATAATCTATACCCTGTATTATTTCATTATTTGACAATAGCTGGAATTAGGTAAAAACAAAAAAGATCTTCTACTTTATCTGTAACGCCCCCTCTTTTTTAGAACGGAGCTCTGTCATCTACTTTACTACATGACCAGAAAGAATAGAGTGACCAAATATAGAATTAAGAAGCTGTAAGAAAGAAATAAACAGATGAAAATAGAGCTAACATTTCGTAAAGGAGAGAAATGATTGATAAAGAAAAGGATAATATAGCATTGATTGCGCTTTTGATGGTCTATAAAAGCTATGACGATAGCATTGAGATATCTGAGAATGTTCGATTAAGGGAAGCCATAGCATTTGAGGTATTTAGCTATATTAAAAAAAAAGTGTGTGTATGTTAATATATGAATAGCATCCTGATCCCGAAACAAAAAACAACTTGATGAATATAAGAATGTTATGGTCCAACAATGACGAAGCAGGATTGTATAGACCTCCTATTGCACTAGGCTCAGCCTCAGTGCCACGTAACAAGAGGAAAAGAAATCAAGATCACCAAGAGTTGAAGAAGGCAACGATACAAGTAAGACACACAAGTAGTCTCTTGTTCGACGGCTAAATGTTTCTTATAGTTTCGTAATTTGGATGTACAAGAAGTACTACGAATGGCAGAACATATCGATCAATTCAAACTATCAGAACAACTGGACAGAATGCTGGAGAATAGGATACTACAGCATGTCATTGTATGCAGACCAGATAGTTCACTTATTTCTCGTATGGGCTACTGGCTCGATCAAAAGCTGCTATACTTCGTTCGTTGGGCAAATCCAAAAGATGTAGGAAAGACTGAATTGAAGGAATTCCTACAAAAGCTGATAAAGTTGACACAATTTACAAAGGTAAGAAGACCACTTGATAAAAAATATCTAACACACTATTAGGCCCAATTGCCTATCATTGAGGACTTTTTAAGAGAGTATTTAAAGATCTGGAATGGATACGAGTTTCAAGAAGAGGTTTTTGAACTTGTCACGTTTCTAAAGCCAAATGAGTATCAAGGTACGTATGCTTGACAGAAAACGACATGTTGAGCTTATACACACCGAATGAACCAGATCTATATAAATCCGTATTAAGGCCACTGTATCGATTGTATTACATATCAGATGTTCATTGGAAAGCGAGGTTGATCCTCTGTTATAGTGAATGGCTTAAGAATTGGGCACTTTTAGACTGGAATAAGCATAAGGAACTTGAACAAGACGAACAAGAAGAGATGGATCAAGTGACTTGGTTATTTAAAGGGCTATCATTCGATACAGACTATTTTCATTCAATGCAGCAATTTATTCTACATGTCGATAAATTATGTACACTTGGCTTGCTCCAAGAGAAAGACCACCCCTTATTACAGCACGCATCACTTTCATTTTTTGAACTAGTAAAATAAGTGAGATTATACTATATACATCAAAAATTAACACACATAACAAGGTCTCTTCCATTTCAATACAGCATAATATACCAAGAATCATTACACCTGCGGCACCGTTTGTATATAGACACTTCTTTTCTACTTCTGCGATGGCACATAGTAGAATTTGCAACATTATGTATCAATATAAAATGGCGTTTGAACAAAGTGAAGATCAACCCGAAGATCAACCCGAAGATCATCAGACTGAAGAATATCTACCAAGCTTCAATGCTTGCATGCTGAATGTATGTAGTGCCTTATGGAAAACGATCAGTATTCAGGATGAACAGCCTCCCTTTGATCTACCAGCGTAAGAGTACTTGTATAGCAAGTGTGTATATATACTCACTCTCCTTATTAAGTGTAACTATAGAGCGCTTGTTTGAAAGATGTCAGGAAAGAGGGACAGATGTACAAAGGGCATTGTCTATAACGCAGTCAGCAGCTTTAATAGGGTTCTCAAAAAGATTCATGAAGGTTAGTGTCTAGGTATCATAAGAGAGGTTTGAATATAAACAAAAGAGCAAAATAGGCGTTGGAAGAGCAAGAGAAGAATCATCAGGTGATGCATCATGAACCGATTACGGCCAATTCGTTAGCTAAACTTGGACAGGTAAGGATCAAATATTACTTTCCTCCTTAAGGCTTATACTGACTATAATAAACTATAGGAAGGTGGAATGAGTTTATCCTATCAAGACTATAGAATACGCTATTTAGATCATCTTTATGAACAAGGTTTTACTGGCATTTATAACTTATTATATTCCAGCATGAAATCTTTAATCAATAAAAGAAAAGAGGAAATAGTTTAAATAATTGATACTAATGTCCTATTTACATAAAAAAGATGAATCTATAAAGAAATGAAATGTTTATTTCAAAAAGTAGAAGACGCTTTAAATAATCAGGAATCCTTGGTATAAATTATTAAGCTGACCCAACTCATAATCGACCATTATCAATGACAAGGTATTATCAGACATATAGTCTGTTTAAAGTACAGAAATGATGCATATATTCAGGCCCTTCGACATTGACACGTTGCGACGTTGGTTTCGGGAAAGAGCGTACAACACTTTAGGACGCACAGATTTTCTATTGTAACCTTGACAACCAAGTTTGGCAATTGATAGACAAGTGGTACGTCCTTTTGTCTCTTATTATAATAGCAATATACAACACTACTCACTTCCATTTGCTTCTTTTTTATAAGGTCATAAATTTCAAGCTGATGTAAGCAAAGCAACATAAACAAATTTATTGTAAAGAATAAAAGAAGCTTATAATTGTAACTAAAAGAAATTAAAAACCAAAAATAGCTTAAAGAGCCATTATTTACAAAGTAAGTTTCTATTGACAAGCAGGGCAATACACGAATAGGAAGTTGTCGGGGTTGTATTCATTCATTTTACACGTGTAACTATTCTATTGTTATATACTCATGTAACTCTCTCTTTTTCCCTTTTTCATTTTCGTTTTTCTTTCTTTCTGATATCTCAAAATGAGAGAAATTATTCACGTACAAGTTGGTAAATATATATAGTAGCTTATATATAAAAAGGGACATTTATTTAAACAAATATAAAGGTCAATGTGGTAACCAAGTGGGTCAAAAGTTTTGGGAGACTATCTCGCAAGAACACGGTCTTGAGGCCAATGGTACCTATGCTGGTGATAATGATCTCCAGTTAGAGAGAATCAATGTATTTTTTAATGAAGGTTCTCAGGGTCAATACGTCCCTAGGTAAAGTAAGACTTTTAAATCGTTTCAATCTATATATAACACTATTGAGGGGAACAGATCCGTATTGGTAGATCTTGAACCTGGTACGATGGATGCTGTTCGATCTAGTCCTTATGGTAAGCTATTCCGCCCTGATAACCTCATCTTTGGTCAATCTGGTGCTGGTAACTCTTGGGCCAGAGGTTACTATACAGAAGGAGCTGAATTGGTTGAATCTGTCATGGATGTCTTGCGTAAAGAAGCTGAAAACACCGATTGTCTCCAAGGCTTTCAATTGTGTCACTCTCTTGGTGGTGGTACTGGTTCCGGTCTTGGTTCTCTCTTGCTTTCCAAGATCCGTGAAGAATATCCCGATCGTATGCTCTGTACTTACTCTGTAGTTCCTTCTCCCAAGGTATCTGATACCGTTGTTGAACCTTATAATGCTGTCCTTTCCGTCCACCAACTCGTCGAGAACTGTGATGCTACTTTCTGTATCGATAACGAAGCACTTTATGACATCTGCTTTAGAACACTCAAGTTGACTAATCCCGGCTATCCTGAATTGAACCAGCTTGTGTCTACTGTTATGTCTGGTGTCTCCACCAGCTTGCGTTTCCCTGGTCAATTGAACTCTGACTTGCGTAAGTTGTTTGTCAACATGGTTCCTTTCCCTCGTCTTCACTTCTTCATGGTCGGTTTTGCTCCCTTGACTGCCTTTGGTTCTCAACAATACCGTAACTTGAGTGTTCCCGAATTGACTGCTCAAATGTTTGATGCTCGTAACATGATGGCTGCTTCTGATCCTCGCCACGGCCGTTACTTGACTGTTGCCACCATCTTCCGTGGTCGCTTGTCTACCAAGGAAGTCGAAAACCAAATGTTAGCTGTTCAACAAAAGAACTCTTCTTACTTTGTTGAATGGATTCCAAACGGTGTGAAGACTTCTCTTTGTGATATTCCTCCTGTTGGTCTCAAGATGTCTGGTACCTTCATTGGTAACAGCACAGCTATTCAAGAGCTGTTCAAGCGCGTGAATGACCAATACTCTGCCATGTTTAGAAGAAAGGCTTTCTTGCATTGGTACACTGGTGAAGGTATGGATGAAATGGAATTCACAGAAGCAGAATCCAACATGAACGATTTGGTCTCTGAATACCAACAATATCAAGAAGCTACCGCTGAAGAAGAGTATTTAGAAGAAGAAGATTATCTTGAAGAGGATCAAGATATTGAAGAAGACGAGTAAAATCATTCTGTTATTCCCACTTTAAATGTTGCAAACCTTACCTTTATCATATACGAAGAGACATAGTTTTAATCCTTAATGCGCTAATAAAAACCACGTGACCTTTTTGAAACTTGTTCTATGCAAAAAGTCTGTGCTTGCATTTTTTTTTCTTGCGTTTGTGTACATATTATAAAAATGAACAATTTTGAATCCATTCATTCTTCGCTTGATTTTAACGAGAGTCTATTAGAGACTAATCCTTTTGCAGATGCTGTGCCTACAGGAAGTGGCTCGATTGAACCTGCAGATACTCAGCATAGTCATGACATTGAGCAGCAGACAGTTATTGAACAACAAACAACACCGCCAGTGAATGAACAACAAATAGAAGAAGAACAGACAATAGAAGAAGAAGAACCAAGTGAAATGACTGAACGGTTACAACAAGTTGATATCAATAAACCGAGTTCACTTGACACATCGTCTATAGAAGATACCCAAGTAAGGTTTCACTTTTGTAAACAGAAAGAAAAAGAACTAAAACCATATCTTAGTCAAAATCCTTACAAGTGCCCGAAAGTGGATCTCGACCCTATTTTCAAATTACCATTGAGGATCCACAGAAAGTAGGTGACGCTATTAATGCTCATATTGTCTATAAAGTCAGAACCAAGGTATTTTTTTTTTTTTTCACTTGAAGGAGAGAGAGGCAATTAAAACATTCTATAGACCAACTCTCCTGCTTTCCGTTCACCAGAAGTGATTGTGGCAAGAAGATACCGCGACTTTTTATGGCTTTATAACCAACTGACACTAGGCAACCCAGGCGTGATTGTACCTCCTGTGCCTGAAAAGCATGCATTAGGCCGCTTTCAAGATGATTTTGTAGAGTCAAGAAGAATGGCCTTGGAGCGATGTCTGCAAAAGATCGTTGCACATCCGATGCTCTATGGAGATCCTGACCTAAAGGTATTTTTGGAAAGCGAATCATTTAATATCGAAAAGCGACAGAGACGAGCGGAACCAGAAAAACTCGGGTTTATGCGATCCTTTGGCGAGACACTATCGAATGCAGCCACCTTTTCAAAGTTTGTCGAGGTCGATGAATGGTTTGCATCGAAACGAAATCAGCTGGACGCATTGGAGGCGCAGTTAAAGGGGCTGTTGAAAAGCGTGGAAGGCGTAGTAAAGCAACGAAAGGAACTGGGTTCAGCCACAGCCGATTTTGGTGAAAGTATGTTTCCGCTGGCCTCGGCGGAATTAAATCATAGCTTATCGACTCATTTGAAAATACTTGGAGAGATACAGAAAAAGATGAAGCAGTTGCATGAGGAGCAGGCACAATATGATATCATTACTCTAGAGAATACAATCGATGAGTATATTCGTATCATTGGATCTATTAGGGTAAGAAAGACGGGATAAATACACAAGGGTACTTGTCGCTCACACAGTGTGTATCATTGAAAAATTAAAATTGCAGATCGCTTTTAATGCTCGAGTGAAGGCGTATCAAACTTATCAACAAGCTGACTCTGAATTACAGCGAAAGCTGGCCTTATTTGAGAAAGTGAAGGCACAGCAAAAGAACAAGCCGGACAAGTTGGCTGCTTCTCAACAAGAAATTAACGAGATGAAACAAAGGGTGGAAGAGCTTGAGCAAGAGTTTTATGATATATCTAAGCTGATAAAGAGTGAACTGGATCGATTTGATAAGGAAAAAGTGGAAGACTTTAGAGATAGTGTTCAGCAATTCCTATGTAGTATGATTGAGCATCAAAAACAGGTAATTCATAAAGAGAGAAGAAATAGGATACTCATCTGTGAGTTTAGATTGTTGCGCTATGGGAAACATATTTTGAACAGACAGAAGGGCTTGAAGAAGAGGAAGAAGAAGAAGCAGAAACAGAGTAAATTATATTAATAAACGATGTCTAATAGAAAGCACATGAGATTTAATAGTACCTTATATCTCCAAGTACTGTGCTTCCACTCTTAATTTACCGGATGTTTGAATTGGACCACTTTTCTTATTTTATTATTGTATCCATTGTATTCTGATATGAATTTCTTTCATAAAGATGACAGAGGTGGAATCGTGGATGATTCTGATAACTAAGCGGCTGCAAATTAATAAACACGCTGATAGAACGCGCTTCAGTATCTTCCACTTCTATGATGAAGCATGCCGGACTTGCTACAGTTAAAATGTATATTGCAGCAATTGTGGGCCTAACAAGTAATTTTTAATTGATCCTCACAGTAATCATCCTTATCCTCGTAGTAAACGTGTAGAAGTTGTCGTATTTCTTCGTTTACTCAGCCCTAACCTGTCGTGGATTTTCAACTCAACCTGTCTCTCATCAGATTGGCGATGTACACACAGCGCAGAGACGAATAAAAGAGCTCAGTCGTTCTGTATGCCAAACCATATACGACTCACGGGATGCCACTTGCGGTCGGGGTTACTTCAAGCTACAACTTACTGGCAAGACCTCTGGACCACTGAAATGCTACAGGCCTTTGAAACCTGCGATCATTACTATCGTAAATGACTTATGGTCTTAATAAACTATATGACTGAATTCAACATCAGAAAGTGTGTGCTTGCCTTAAGCGACTAATACCTCGACGACGACGACGAGAGACATGGGACAAATTCTGTCATCCAATGGCCACAAGTGAGTACACTAAAGCGCTGGCAAAAATAAGCAAAATACGCATAAATCGTACTCTAAAGCCAACTTTCTCCACTATTGAAAGTACACAGCACTCTGCGGACAGAATGGCAACACACCTGGAATTTATTTACTCTGGTGACCTATTTGGTGGCGTGCAAGCATATGAGATAACTCCACCTACTCTGCGTTCGGATGAAGAGTGTCCCTTCGACGTTAATCTTATTCGGGATGCTACAAACCATCTGTCTGCCAAAAAGGGCCCATCAGGTGTAGACCATTTACGTATTGAAATGCTAAAGCCCACCCAATATCTCCTGGCGCCTGCTTTATTCGCCCTCTTTCGTCTCCGCTGGTCTTGGTCCTACACCCCTCAAAATTGGCGAATAGCACAAGTGGTGCATTGCTCTCACTTTTTTTTACCCTTGAACCCAAAGGAATCTTTTAGTTTTTCTTTTTTGTTTGTTCTGATCTCGTCTGGATGGAGCTTTCATTGTGCTCAACAGGACGTTACATTAAATAAAACCCGTTATTTTCACTAAACGTCCTATAAATTGAGAATAGGAAGCACAGTATGACTTTGTACAATTATGTGTATAAATACCAAGATTTAACTGGGGTTAAACAATCTATTTAGTAAACTTGATTCAAATCATGTATATCCTAAAGATTATTTTCATATCTGACCACATTATATGATTCATAGCGGGGGGAAACATACATGCAAGTGTATGTGTTGACTACTTTTAACGGAGTTTAGAACATCTTTAAGAACTGAACTTGTCCAGATTAATTTTCACTCTGTATATATACACGTTTTATAATGGTCAATCTCTCTCTTCGCTCTATTCAAGCTGTCATCTTGTTAGATGGCGAAGGAAATCGTGTGTTAGCAAAATATTATGGCCAAGATAAGACAAATGTTAAACAACAAAAGCAATTTGAAAAGGGTTTATTTGAAAAAACGAAGCGTGCTCAAGGTTTGAAGATGGAATGAAGGTTGATGAAAGCTAATGTTACATGTTTATAGGAGATGTCATTTTGTATGATAATCAAGTTGTTCTATATCGCTCAAATATCGACATTTTCTTTTATGTTGTCGGTTCAATGGAAGAAAACGAGCTGATCTTGTTAAGCATGTTGAGTGCGTTTTATGATGCTGTATCTACCTTATTAAGGTATAAAGAAAGAAAGAAAAAAGTAGCAGATGGCTCATATGTACATACTTTAGATATCAAGTAGAAAAACGGTCAGTAATGGATAATTTGGATCTAGTTATTTTATGCCTTGACGAAACAGTGGATGAAGGGTAAATAAAGGAGAGAGAGAAAAGAAGAAAGGGGACTAAAGCCTTTTATAGAATTATATTAGAAACAGATGCAAATGCCATTGTCAATAGAGTTTCAAAACCACGTATGGATATGGTTGATATTCCTTTCTCAGAACAAACGTTGCTACAAGCGTACCAGACAGCCAAGGATAAATTTGCTAATCAATTGCTACGATAAGCCTGCTTTTTGGGCGTAAACGCGTTTATGATAGTACAATGGCCTCCTTGAAATAAAATGAAGATCCCATTTACCTTTTTATATGTATTTCCGGTGCAAGATGGAATTTTAAGAAAGTAAAAAGTTTAACGTTCGGAAACAACATCAGTAAACTTTAATTAAGGAAAAAGATTTTGTGCGTGTGTGTATGTATGTGTCATGAACTAGGATGATAATACAAGAAATAGGGGTAAAGGTATTAAATATAGGTTCACCAATAATAGAAATTCAAAAACTTTGACACTTTTCTCTTTCCCTTGTTCTTTGCCTTTGTCTTTATCTCTTTTTAAAGATAACAAAAAAGACAATAGTTACAAGTTGCCATGACAAAAAAAAAGGCATCTTCTTTCATGTTCTTTTTATGCACTTTATCCAAATATGTTTATATTTTGTATGACAAAAATGAAGTGAGTCTTTTCGAATAGCAACTGTTGTGTATTTATTTGTTTTGACCCTGAAATTAGTGCTCTCTCTCTCCAGGTACCCGCCTCTTTTTTTTTTTTTTTTTTTTTACTTTTTCACCTTTCACTTTCTTTAACCCCTTGAATATTACTCCTAATTGAAAGAAAGTACAACACAAATAAAAAAAATATTGTTGACAACGGAATCACCACCGTAGAGCGTAAGACACTTGGACGGAGTTCACCGGAGTTCAGTGACAGGTGAAGCATGCTTACCTGTCAAAAAATTTAAAGAATGAGTGAATATAGCATAATAGTTACTGTGTTATTCTGGCTACAATGTTATTCAAAGTATATATGAATGCTTGTAAAAAATATTGTCTTGTCAATAGTAAATTTGTTAACACAAATAAAATTATATCCCTTGTTATTACCCCTTAATTTCCTTGGTTTATTCATGATATAAAAAACAAAAAAGTTCATCTATCATCGGTTCTCATCTTTTTTTTTTTCTTTACATCAAAATGTCTTTTGTTTCTTCACCTTCATACATCGATACAATGTCTACTTCAAGTCCTTTGGGTCTTATCTTTAATCATTCACAAAACCGTCCAAGATCCCCTTCAGAGCATGATTTGTTATCTTTGGCCTCTGTAGATAACACCTCTTTGTACAATACAGAAGACCAGACACTGATAGACTGTTATAATGTACCTGTCAACAAAGCCTCCATGCTACCATGCTATCAAGAACCGCATTCGACTCATCCTATTTCGACTATGCCATCTCTTTTGACACCACCTCTAGCCTCAGATCCAAACATATACTATCAAGATCCTTGGCAGTTTAGAAAACCATACAACTGTGATCCTTACTGTTGTTACTGGTCTTCCTATTATGACATGTGTTGCTCTTCTGAGTCGCTTACGACCTGTTACTCACCTACCTGTCATGAATGCAGCCTGCTCACACCTGCTGAATCGCCTTCATTGACTCCCACTGCCATCAAAGACCTGATGGCTTATGATCACGTACCTGCCGATTATCCTCGCCTTTATAACGACTCTCACACACCTACCGAAATAGACACAGAGGTAGTAGTAGCACCAACTCCTGGCCGTCGTGCTAAATTAAGAAGTTACAATAAAGCCAAAAGACACTACAGTGTGGACTCAAATACATCATCAGAGTCAGACTCATATTCTGATAAGGCATATTCATCTGTGGCTCCAAGAAGATACAAATGTTCTGTCTGCCCCAAGAGGTTCACTAGACCAAGCTCATTAGCCACACATATGCACAGTCATACAGGAGAAGTAAGTATATATATATGATAACGATGGCATATATACTCATCTACAAAACAATAGAAACCATATGCATGCGAATTTAAAGACTGTGGCCGTCGATTTTCTGTCGTAAGCAATTTACGTAGACATGCCAAGATACACATAAACAGCAATAATACTGATGACGCTAGCAATGACAACACGAATGACAGCAAATAATCACTTCGCATCATACTTTATATATAGACTCTACAATCTTTAATAATCTCTTCACTTGCTTTCATGTCTCTCCCCTTTTTTTTAATTCTCTCGGACAAACTTTGTTATTTGGTTAAGTGCGTAAAAATAAGCCCCATAGTAATTGTAATTAAATCATCTTTGTTTATCATAATAAAATCCTCATCATTTATGCTTAAAAAAAGTCCTATGTTCTCGATTGTTACTATAGTAATCATGTTTGTGTGCTACAGACTTTTTCAAACTTTCTATAAGCTACTTTTGCAGAATTGTTTTTTATGGAGTCTTTACCTTATCTATTATTCACGACGTTTAGATTTCCTTTTATCGTCAGATGGCTTGTTTCGTTATAATACAAGGGGAAATATAAAAAAGGCAAGTTACCCGAATAAAGGGGGTAAGTAGACAGAGAGAGAAAGACAAAAGGAAAACAAGGTTGTTCGTGCATGATAAAAGGAGTGGATATAAAAATCGCATGACATATAATCATAGAAAACAAATTTTCCCTTTAAAAGAAATACATTGTTTATTCTATTCGCGTGTAAATGCAATACGGAGTAAAACGAAGAAGGGGGGAAGAAGAAAGACTAGAAAAAAAAAAACGTGGCAAAGAAGATAACTTACCTTGGCATCTTTTAATATCGTTTGCAAATTTGTATAAATGACAAAAGAAAAAGAGCCGATCTCAAAAATGACATGTATATTTATCATAAACAAATAAGCGTCCTATTTATGTTAATATCTCTACAGCCAATAAGGTTGCAATTAACATATTATTTGTTTTTGTCTTCTCGCTGTCAATTTAATAGAAAAAAAGAAGGCCTCAAAGTGATAGATATATGCGCGTATATGTGCCTCTGTTGCCTCACAAAAAACCTGTGACCTTGCTGCAAACGCAGAAATTAAGACAATAATGTCAATTCTGTCTATTTTATGCTCGAGACAAGTAATTACTCGTGATCATATGCTTCACAGCAAAAAACTCTTGACCATTCCAGACTTTATGCACAAATATATTTATACAAAAAAAAAACTGCAGTAGACTGCTTACAGAAATCATCACACAGCATATTTTATATCTCAGTGGCCAGTTCTTTTATTTGCAGCAACCTTGTTTCGCCTCCTTTTTTTGAAAGCCACACACACACAATGTCAATAACAGACGACAATCAGCCAACATACAGACCAGTGGCAGCTATTGCAGTCATAAGAAAGTCCATATCAGAAGCTAATTCTAAACAACCTGATGTTCATGACATTTCCAGAAAACCACACGACACACTCTACTTGTTGGTAAAGAAACCACGTACAGAAAATGCTTGGCAATTCCCACAAGGAGGTATCAAGTATAAAAAACGAGAAACCTTGACAAAAGCTGCATTAAGAGAATTAGCAGAGGAATGTGGTAGTGATTTACAAGTGAACATGTTGGATCATAACGAGCCATTCTGTATATATCAATATGATTTTCCTCAAGATTTTGTTCAAAAAAAAAATAGACACTTTAAAGGTGCTAGAGTTCAGTTTGTAAGAGCCGAATGGCTGTCGGGTCAATGTCTGCCTGACGGGAAAGAAATTGTGGATTTTGCTTGGTTAACGCGTGAGGAGATCCCGTCTTTTGTATCTGCTGATTATTTAAAAGGCATTATGCAAATCTTGGAGCCTTTGTAATAAAATACACATGCATATATTCATATAATGAATATGATCAGTTTATCGATAACAAGCAGACGAAGCCTTTATCTAATGACTCAACACAAGCTCAGATAACGGTAACATTGTTCGCCATTGTTACTTCAATGTATTTACGCGCCAGTTAATTTGAGAGCGTTATCCATGTTTATGCAGTCAGTATATCAAACAGAAAACTTACAAGTGACTCAGGGGGTACAATGCTTCACAAATCCTCCCTTTTCCTCTTTATTAAACCATAAATGTAAATGTTTAGCATCATATTCATGTCACAGCAACTATAAAAGGCATCATAAGATTACATAAGCTTCATTGTGCATACGTACGCTCTTGTTACGTTAGAGATAAAAAGACAGAAAATATAGTTCAACGTGGAGATATCAAGGGCAAAAATAAAAGTATAACAAAAGAGAAGGATTGGAATCTATTATACCCAGAGATAACGTATATATAAATACATTAATTTTGATCATGAGCAGCACATTATGAGTGCTTCTTCACTAAGCATGTTCTTTCCCACTATTTTACGGTTATGTACCCATATCAGATACAGCTCTTGAAAAAACAAGCTCAAAGAGAAAAGACACGGAAAATGTTGCATACGGTGTATACAATGATCTTTTTTGCGGAACTGATATGAATATTGGTAAGAGTATAGACTGTTCTGGCTACACGTTTAGATTATTTTTATTAGAATTTCAATTGGGCGCATGATGATAACAATATATCTTTTCTATGCAAGGCAGGTCAAAAAGAGAGATTGGTAACTAAAAAAGTACTTATTGGATCAAGGATAAAAAAGGTCATAGGAAGGGAAATATTGGAGGAAGTGTACGATACACTATCTCTCAAGAAGATAAGTAAATCATCGGCGTATACGCTAACATCTTCAGAGACGAAGGGGTATTCTGCCAATGCTTCTGGTTTAGCAAGCACTTGGAGGAGGAGCAGCAAATTCACGTATATGGAGTGATGAGCTAATAGATCTGACGAGAGGCTCCATAGCAAGATTGAACAAAGGCGGAAATGTTTCGTTGTCGTGTTTTGATTTGTAAACAAAGATATTATATATATTTAATGCACTATTCACGTCGCAAATCCCACGTCGTACCACAGGATTCACACTTGAGAGCAGCATGTACTTTTCGCTTTGATTCAGAAACAGAGATATTATTCAATTGATTGGTTTTGCACTTGTTAAACACTCGTCAGCATAAATAGATTTGGTCCCTCCATATTAGATTGTTTGCACTTTCGTTTGATTTTTTCAGTAATACGTCTTGTAGGTGCAGCTCGTTTTCCTTTCATACTTTACAAAAATGAAACAATTCCGAACGCAATGATCCGCTTCCATTGAGAGGAGGAAGAAGATCAGCAGGAAGGTAGAGGTACATGTCTGCTTTTGACTTGGTTTTGGTTTTTAGCGCCAACTGTGCTTGATATGTCATAGCTGTGGTCGTTAATTAAAGAAAATCACAGGACCAATGCCATCTCACGTTCCATGAGGAAATAAAAGGATGTAGTGGGTGGGCATGTATGCAACATGTGTTTGACTGATTCTTTGAAAGTGCTGCTCAAAGTCATAGCCTTAACGTATGTTGTCATTATGGCCTCTTCTTATTAAGGCGAGTATAATATTTCTGAAGCTTTCTATCGTTATACTTAAGAGGTAGGACAACAGCGACTTCCTCCATTGTGAGAAGGCTGTGAATACGTCTCTCATTCCCCTTCGATTAACCTTATTCTCACTGAAGGGCTAATGGTAGTGTAAGACGAGTTGCTTTCACTGCAGTCATTGGTGTTGCTGCTCAGATCTCCATTTGCATTTGTATTCTCGTGTCCGCTTAGAATCTCATGTGCATGGTGATATATGCATGAAAAAGGGGCTACAATGAGAAAGTATAGCAGAAAGCTCCGTTATGATCTCGGAATTAAGGTTTTCGTTTCTTTCCGATCTTCTTTGTACAGCGCAAGATAGGTCGTTTATGTAGAGTTGGGCGTAGGATGGTTCGCTGCTGTCTAAGGAATAAGTAGTTTCTGGCAGTTGCAAAATGCACTTAGATTTGAAATGCATTCAATCCTCTTCTGCTGTTGTTAGTGGTGTCAGAATCCTGCAGAAATTATATCGCAACCCAAAGAAGTAAACGCAAAGGCAGCGCTGTACTGACGAAGTTGTCATTGAAGTGTCTTACTTGGGTGTCTGTGTATGTAAGCACGTCTATCAAGTACTTAGGTGGGTTAGGCAAGAGTTGTAACTGGGCTGATCCTTGCTTGCAGCATTATGCCCAGCTAAGGTTCCTCAATGAGGATGACTCTTGCCTCTCGTCTATTCAGCGTAGGACATGACAGTGTGGACATCTTCTGCTCATTCGTCCAAGGCCTAATAGCCGTAAAAAGTGTAACTGAGAAATGTAGGCAGCAGATATGGTTTGAGGAGGCTCTACTCCAGGCCTTCTCCGGCATCTCATTGTGATGTGCCTGATGAGATAATCATTATGATAACTCGAGTATAATCTTACAGTAGAGCATGCATTCTACTTTACATTCCTCTATCGCATCTGATAAGAATAACTTATAATAATAATAACAACTATAGTAGCTACTAGTATAACAATAAAAATATAAGCATTTTTTTTGTAGGGGCATAAAAGCCAAGTTCTATTTATTTATAAGTCACCTACCAAAGGCAGCAGTGAACTAGGAAAATCGAAGAACAAGAAAATAAAGTAAAAAAAAGGAAATAAAATCAATATACTATACTAACTATGGAGAAGTGAGGTTGTCAGTCCTTGGAGGGACTAACGACTGCACCACTCGAATAGCTTCTTGAAGTACCAGGGTAGGCACGAAGGGCGTAGAATCAAAAATAAAACGCCAGTGTGTTTTCCATATCATCAACAAGCTGCATCCAAAGATGCTAGAGGAATCAAGAGATTGCACTGAACTCTGTTGAGGGAAATTCAGATGTAAGATTGCCTGCAGTAGTGCATGACGAGACCATGGGGACAAAGGGAAGAAGTGGGCCCAAATGAGCTTCCAAGCGATGTACTTTTTTCTACAGTCAATTAAGAAATGACAAGTGGTTTCTGAAGGCGAACCCCGATTGCACAGACGGCAGAAAGAAGAGAAAGAGGGAATGATCTTGTGTAGATTGGAAGTGGCAGATAGCTTACCATGAATCAAGCGAAACCAAACGTTTCGAGCCGGCAAAGGGACATCCATGCGCCAAAAAGATTTCCAAAACCTGATTGAATTACCTAGTGCGACTGAGTACTCTTTAGCCTGTGAAAGGGATGCTTTATGAATAAGCTTTCGCATGTGAGAAGGCTGGATTAGCTGGGTCTGACGATCGACTAATGGGGTAACCAACGGCAGAATTGTATCATCGATGGTGATTGGACCCAAAGTACCATCATGTAAGCCAATTTGGGAAGGCAATATTAGACGAGAGAGGGAAAGTGATAAGCACACAGAGTGCGAGTCTAACAATTGATACAATCGAACAACACGGTTACGTCTGCGTTTAACAACGCGCTTCTTTTCTGCTGTTAGTCTGCGTCGTATAAATTGCAGTTGAGGATCGAAAATGAAAGCATCCTGCACCTGAATATTTGAGTAGGAGGAGCGCTTGAGCAAAAAATGGCCCTCAGAAGGCCAATTAATAACCTCAGAGAGAGGTAATACCATAGAGACAGACGCTGAGATTGGAGTGGGCTGTGACATATCCGTCCCCAAGTAAAGCTTATGCTTCTGTAAACTAAGGAGAATGTCAAAAGCGCGGAACCATAGCGAACAAAGGCTGGGACGAGAAGGATGCAATAGACTCTACCGTAAGGAAGGGAAGAAGAAAGACAAACGACCGTCTGGTAGAGTAAAAGAAGCTTTAGTTGTGAGAAGATCGTCTGAAAGATCGTTGGTAGAACCTAAGGAAACGATGTAACTGATGTCGGAAGCAACGTCGTACGACCAGTGTCGAGGAGGCAGGATAGCCTTAGCCTTGAGTGCTTTAAGGAAGGCCACATAAGTTTCGGAGCGTTTGATAGCTTGCTGATCCTCGGCGGAGAACAGAGCCAGAATCGAATTGCTATAGGTGGCGAGCGTGGAGAGCTTGTGGCCGTGGGCGGTGTGAAGATCTGCTAAATAGTTGATGATTTGCTGTGGGAACGAGTCATGATAGTTGAGTTGGCGTGAAGAGCACTACGTAGCGTAGTTCTGTTGCCTAACGTGGTACTGTCGTCGGGTAGAGGACGCTGTGGGAGAAATGATGACTAAAGCGAACGACGACAAAGAGAAATGTTTCAGGTGCTTTGTGATATGTTCCACGCTAGCATTGTCCAACGGGGATTCTTCTTGATGAGATGATGATCGTCTTCACTTACCAGATCTTCTTGGAGGAGAAGAAGAGGGGGCTATTGCGTCAGATGGAGAACCAGGGGAAACCAAAGAGCTGACGGCCAATTGGGCGTGATCAGTGTTGCAGGCTGAGGACGCTGAGTTAACCTCTGTAATGTGGGCAGGACTAGATTTCATGGAGGGGGCTAGGTGTAGTCGACCGAATAAAGTGATCCAGTTCCGAAAAAAGGCATTGATCTATAACGCTTGGGGGGTGGTAATTCCAGGACACAAAGGCCGTCGGAATCTGTGCACTCTGTGGAGTTGCGAATACGTCCAAGCGATGGAGGCCCCATAGATGGTCCAGCCCGACAAATGTCTTCCAGGGTAATGCCTATTCTGTCTGGTGCGCAAGCTGACGAGAAGGGGCGTCGGCGAGGTTGTAGCGGGATGGAATATATAGTGTCGATAATTGTATGGAGTTCCGAAAGTAGAAGCGCAATATGTTCATTGCCAAAGTGCTCAGGCTGGAGGAGCGAGTACCACTGAATTTGTTGATATATGCTATGGAAGACGTGTTGTCCATATAAAACTGGATGTGTCCCAAGTGTGAAAGTGGCACTTGTCGTAGGGCTTTGTCCACAACTAGGGGTTCCTTGTAATTGATATGGAAACGGCGTTCGTGAGGGACCAGAGACTAGAGAAACGATGATTGTCACAAGCTATGCCCCAGCGCGTGTCTAACGCATCCGTGAACACTTGAGTAACGAATGTGTGCTGAAGGATATGCTAACCGTTCCTTTGCTGAAGCTGTGAAATCCACCAGATGAGCTCTTGTTTCATTGCTGGAGTGATAGGACAAAGGTGATTCTGTATTGTTGAAGACGGTGTTACATACTGTCGATATCTGTTGAGCTGCTGCAGTAGGTGTCGGGTGCGAAAACGTGCCTGAATGTTGCCCACTTGAGTCGCCCTCGTCGTTCTAATGAATGCTGCGAGCTGTGTCCGTGTCGTCGATTGCTGGTAGAGAAGTTTGTAAGCCATTCGGCGAATCAATCGATTCTTCTTGCCCGGTATGGAGATGGCCATCGCTGCCGTGTCGATCACCATACCCAAGTGAGTAATCTTCTGAGAGCGGGTTAGAATGGATTTTTTTGTCGTTGGCCAGCCACCCCTATTGGACCATCTTCGGATATACCTGTGTTGTCTGAGCCAGTGCTTGTTCCTTGGAGGAAGCCATTATCAGGAAATCGTCGAGATAAGCTGTTAAGCGTATCCCTTTGCATCTCGCCTATTGTAGCAAAGGTCTGGTGGCCTTGGTGAAGACCCAAGGGAATAGGCTGAGGCCGAACGGGAGAACACGGTACTGGAACGGCTGTAAACGTCATTGGAAACAGAGGCACTTGCGGGAGGAAGAATGTACAGAAATATGATGGAAGGCGTCCTTTAATTCGATTGATGTGAGGTAGTCGCCTGGTTATAACAAATTGGTGATCGTTTGCAGCGCCTCCGTCTTGAAGTGACGCACGGGCAGGTAATAATTGAGTTTTCGCAGGTTGAGAATGGGACGAAGGCCCACATCTTTCTTTGGAATCACGAATAAGCTGGAAAGGAAGTCTTGGGAAAGGAGAAATGCCGGTTCGATGGCCTACTTGCTGAGCAGGGAGGATATCTCGCTGTCGATGATTTGGGTTGTCGTTGTTGGAAGCTGAGTGGTTAGTGTTGGTAATGGATGAATTGCTTGCAGAGGAGGAGGAGAGGAAAAACAAAATTGGAAGCCGTGGTGGAGAACGCTTAGGAACCATAGGTGTATGGGTTACTGTAAGGACCGTGACCAAGAAGGCACAAAAAGAGACAGACATCCCCCCGCAATGCTTATTCCCTCTTGGTGATGTTGGGGCGAGACTGAAAACCCTGCTGTTGTTGCACAGATTTTGACTGAACAATAGAAGTGTTGTCAGTAGTGGTGTTAGAAGTCGAGCCGCTAAGGGATATATTAGATGCGGCTGTTGAAGATGATTGGGGCGAGATGACGCGATTAGGTCGAGACCTGGAGTATCTACGTGTAGAGGCTTGTACTGCTTGAGCCAGTTTGATATGATCCACCATATTTTTGGGGCCCAAGAGATAGTTCTGAGGCTCGTCGGAAGGAGGATTGCAAGAAGCAGAAATACCTTGGGACACGTTAGAAGTACGTTGCTTGGTGATGTGCGTCGCCAAATCGGACAGAAGCTCGTGAATAGCCTTGACAAACTCCAGAGATCGCTGACGGATAGTGTCCAGATCCCACTAACTGTGAACCAGTCAATAAGACGAGTAAGACTAGAGAGGCGATACTGGATATTATACAATTGAGTGTCCAAGCGACGAGTGGGACCTGACAGGTTAACCTTACTGAGTTCAGGTGGATTGCAGGAACGAATGGTGTTCTTAGGACATTCAAATAGGAAACGCCGGCGCTCAGTATCCGGAAGAAGACGACGGAAGAAATCTTCCTCAAGGAAGGGGCAATGTTCCAAAAGGGCTGAAGAAGGAGTGAAATCAGCCCCGGGAGACCGAACAACCACGTTGGAGTCTTCCTGTAAGAAAGGGGAAGACGCGAACTTAGCTTCCAAGGAGGAAAGGCGGTTAAAGAATTTCATGGTCCATGCAGGAGGCTCAGCTTGATTGTAACCATTGTTCTCAGTATTCATAATTTGACGACGGGTTATTCAGGTGCGTACAAATTCGAATGAAAAGATAAAGGATTAAAAAAAAAGCTTTTTATATTACTGTGTTTATTTTACGTTGTACAATTCGAACTAATAAAGAAAAGAATGATTACAACAACCAATATCACAAAGCTCGAAGTGTAATTTAATAGATTGTCCCAAACTCTTTCCTCAGGTGTACAAGTTTTTTTTCCCTTAAGTATACGAAATTATTTCCAAAAGTGTACGATTACTTTCCGAAAAAGGTGTATAAGCTTTTTTAAATGGTAAATTGTACACCATTTCCAGAAAGAGATATCGCGCTGACTTGTCCCTTTTTCGTATAAATTGTATTATAAAAATTGCAAAAATGCGACTTTACTTTCTGGAAAGACTGTATACAGTCCTTTTTCAAAGTCTGATGTCATTCTATTTTTTATTTTTTGAGCAAAGGTTAGCGTCTACAAAGAAGGCTATTGTCAAGTTCCAACCTCTTTTTCTGCATTTTGAAAAACCCTGTTCTTCCCTTTATCATTATCATCTGTAGAATAATTCTTCGAGTATAGCTCAGAACGCTACTTTCTATCTTCGTCTTTTATGTTTATTCATGTAACCGCTTTGTAAGTAACTTCGTCATCTATACTTTTTGTTAGCAGATATGCGACCTTACTGAACCTACAAAAAAAAAAAAAAAAAAAAAAAAAAAACACCATGATTAGTAAATTAGTGAGGTTACTGTCTCCTGCTTCCATATGCATAAAGCAGAGTGCATGTATCTCTATAGCAAATGCTCTGCATAAAAATGCCCTTGACATGAAGTAATGCGCAACAGATAAACGATGAATTATTTTGCAATATAAAAACGAGCTGCATATTAGTGTAAATCTATGTGATTGCATTGCATTAAGTTAATTAACCCTTTTTTTTTCATAATGCGCAATTATTTATCCCGACTAATTCATTTGCCACCTCTTCATTGTAACTATACCTGTGTAGTCTCTCCTAATGAAACCTATCAGACACATTTCAAGGTATTCCCTTTCTCTCTTTTGCCTTCTCCTTCCTTTGAAGGGTTTGTTGTCCCTTTTTGTCTAGAATTTGATTTTTTTTTCCTTATTCTCCTTTTACCCATATTAATAAAATATAACTAACGCATGTCCCAGCAAATGAGAATATCCTCGCCTAATTATAGCAAATATGGTACTATTGACGATATATGAAATCAATCAAGACGTCAAAGTCAATATTCCCTGCTTTGACTGCAAATGCCCTCGTTCCCTTTTTATCCCCCTTGATACATCTTTCACATACATATATATACATGTGTATATATACATGCATAAATGCACTTTTTATATTTATCAATATTCCTTCTTTCTTTCAATTCTTTTACTTCTTGCTATGGGCATTTTCAAATTTTATAAAAAAGACAATAAAGAGAGACAAAAAGTCGCAACTTCTGTCAAGGAGATATCCAACAAAGAAAAGATCTTTGATGATACACCAATTTATGTTCCATTTGCGCTCGATAATTCAATACCTGGAACAACCCAAGGTAGTCTAATGGATGAAATTTTCAAAGAGCTCCCTTTATCTGCATACAGCAAAACTGACTCAAATAATGGTAAACCAGTCCCAAACTAAGTTAAGATATACCTTGATTTAACTTTTTTATATTATGTAGATGTCCCTAAGGCTCCTGTCGTGAAAAGTATACGACATTCACTAACACTTGGCTTACGAAAAAATCGCGCAGCAAGCTTTAATTCTTCAAGCAATTCAATTGACCTATCCAATTGTAACAAGTCAACCGAGACAAACAGTACTTTAACAGGGCCAGAAAACTATTCGAGAAAAAACTCAGTGTTCACCGATAGCTCAGTATCAAGCGCCTCAACTTTTAGTAATCCATCCTCAGCTGATGAGCGTGCTTCTTTGAATAACGTCCCTATACCAATGTCACCAACAAGCTATATGGAGGACCATTTTGATCTTCAGTTACAAACACAAGGCATCATAAAACCCTCCGTTGCTAGGGGGCCGACCACACAGATACGTTCAGCATTATCTCAAAGCTCTACCGAATCTACATTAGCCCGGATGAGAGAAAGGCACCGACAAGAGCGTCAAAAGCAACGTTATTGGCTACCGAGCTATAGTATCCCAGTAGACAGAACTGCCTATTTTTCGCCTGCTGTCAGCCAGTTAATGATAACTCAGCGAGCGGCCATTGGTCACATGCAACTGTACAGTATACCTCAACCAATTCAACCCTATCTAGATCCAACCATCCAATCTTTTTCTACACAAGTGCCGTGTACAATGACACATACATTCACTCCAGACGCCCCTCACTCCCCATATTACCCTTATCCCACTTCAGTCACAAGCTCCTTTACGCCAAGCTCTTCAACTTCAACTCCGTTTTCTCAGCTCAAGGGAAAACCTGGTTCTCATTATTATCATCATCACACAAAGGAACGAGAATTACCTTCACCATCATTATATCATCCAAAGTATAGGACGCCCAGTAAGACACAGCAAACAGATCTAGCCTATTCGTACAACGTAGCATCTGGTGTAACAGAATCTAGTATTCATTCGCAATACGCTAATCATAATGACATAAAGTATGTTGTCACTCACTCAACAAACAACTGTTGCAAAGGCACTGCAAAAAGCATTGAATACTGTAGGAAAAGCACATGTAAGAAGAAGAAAAGGATTGACTCATGTCTTGGAAAATTGCATACCTGTCATAATATCAGTCTGGAAAGCCAAATCAATCAGAGGTATAGAGAGGAGCTTGATCTAATGCAAAAAATTCATAAAAGAAACTGCTACTCAGTTCCCAGTTGTTTACACTTGCTGGACAAGAAACAAGACGTATTTGAAGAAAATGACGCTGCGGCTATCAAAGTCATTCAAGAGCACATGAACTCAGAAGAAAAGACGATGAGACTATTAAAGGCATACTGTGAAAATAACCGAGCCTCGATTGTCATTACATGCTGTTGTCATCAGAGTAATGGTAGTAGCAATAGGACGAGAAATGGCAGGCAATGTCATAAAGCATCAAGAATTCATTCCAACGTATGCGATCAAAGATTTCGATAAACCAAATAGATTATTATTACTCATAAACGATTTAAAAAAAATTGCTTCATACATTTCATATTACTATAATTCATAAACCCTACAATTAATAGCATTCGTAATAAAGTATCATTTGGCACGCTTTCCATATTTGGTTATTTGTGTCGCCATCAGTCAAAGTTTAGTTTATTTCGCTTATTATGCACTGATTTTTGTTTATGTTGTCTGCCATCACTCATTAATCATAGCTAAACTCTTTCTTTCGTTCCATAATTTTTTAACGCCAATACTATTTTATGTATCATCACTCAACGCCTGTCATTACGGACCTTTGCTCTTTTCCTGATGTTGATGATACTACTATAACAGACAGACTAAGGGCTAGATACATGAACTATCAGCCTTATACAGCTATAGGATATTGTAATATCATAGCAGTAAACCCTTTCAAGAGGCTTGCCCAAAACGACACGCAAACTAGCGAAGAGTATGTTACATTCTACAAAAACCCTTCAGTCAACAGCTGCTTTAAACTCGATCCACATGTTTTTGGACTTGCAAATGCGTCTTATTTCCGTATGCGAAGAACAGGAAACGGTCAAGTGATATTATTACTGTAAGTATAACTCATCTTTTACTGTTCATGCTCAAATTAGACTCAACAGATTTGTTATTTAGAGGCGAGTCTGCAAGTGGAAAGACGGAAATACAAGACTTAATTATTCCACATCTCATACGTTTGGGCTCAAATAAGAAGAAACAAAAGATGCAAGGGTATATTATAGGTGGTCATAAAGTGCTAAACCTATTTGGATCAGCAACAACATCTCCCATAACAAGGTATAGTTCCCGGTTTGGTGTCTATAGTGAAATACACTTTAATGAGCGTGGTAAAGTGGTTGGAGGAAACATTGCTACTTATCTCTTGGAAAAGTCGAGACTGTGTGGTGGTGTTTCCAAATCTCGACCAAGTCAAGGAAACTTTACAGTATTCTACTTACTATTAGCCGGCACAAATCCTGATGAAAAGCAGGTACTACAGCTAACAGATGATCCCAAGTCATTTAATTACTTGGCGTCATACAGTAGAAGTATTTCAAGCAGCGACGCAGAACAGTATAACGAACTGAAGAGCGTGATGCGTACGGCAGGCTTTAAGAAGGACCACTTCAATTTTATTATTCAGCTGCTATCGGCTATACTACATCTAGGGAATTTGATTTTTATGCCTAGTGATGGAGCTGAAGAAACAGTATCTATCAAAAACATGGATTGTTTGGAGCTGATTGCTGGCTTCTTGGGGCTTCAACCAGAGACACTCAAATCATCTCTAGCCTTTAAGACGGTTACTATCAGAAAAGACATAACAACCCTGATATTAGATGTAGACCAAGCCACAGCACAAAGGGACGATCTAGCACAAACACTTTATTCACTACTGTTTACTTGGCTGATGAACTATATCAATGAACGAATTTCATGTGACGACTATAACAGCTATGCAGGCATTCTAAATCTTCCTGGAAGTCAACCTACAGCGACGAATACGGCGGATTTTTACCAGTTTTGCGTCAACTACGCAAATGAAAAAATACATGACTTCATGATGGATCGCATGTTTGTAGCCGACGCGTTCGAGTTAGAGTCAGAAGAAATAAAGACTTCAAAGGTGCATATGAAAGAGAATAAGAGATGCTTGGAGCTACTCGAGAGGCCACATCATAGTATTTGTGCGCTATACAACAAGGTTACGGAAAAGATGCTCAGCGGTAAAAAGATGGTTTCGAATGAAAGCGCGGTTGAAGCTATCAGCAAATATAATGCAGACTACGAGGAGGTATCTATTCATAAATCGGATACTGGCGCTCGATTATTCGCCATACGCCACTTTGTTGGAGATGTGACATACGATTCCAAGGATTTCGTATCCTCCAATAATAATCAGCTATCACAAGATTTTGTCTCTTTATTCCGTGGAAGCGCTGATAGTCCTGGATCTCTCAACAGCTTTGTTGTGCAGTTATTCTCTGATGAAAACATCACTGCAGATACCCACATGTATCCAGAAGCGCAACAGAAGGATAAAGGCAATAACTCTTTGTCAGTCAAGCAACGCAACGAAAAGGATGAAGGATACTTCCAGTGGAGTGGTAATAAAAAGACAGCTTTGGCTCAAACAAAGAAATCGATGGATGATCTGATCTCTACTTTTCAAGAGGCCAACCTATGGTCTGTGTTTTGTATCAAGCCAAATAATACGGGAAGCAGTACAGAGTTTGACAGCTATTTGGTAAAGTCTCAAGTTGAAGTGTATGGATTACGGCATATAACGCATAAAATGAATGAATTCTATACAATTTCATTTCTGCATCAAGATTTTTTAAAGCGATATTCACCCTTGCTATATATTCCGGATGAGATTGAGGGAACAGAGCCTCATGAACTGTGCAAAATAGTAAAGCAATCGAGTTCCTGGACAGATAATGATGTAGCTATTGGCACTACAAAGGTAATTCAATCGGACATTCAAGGGAATAAAAAAAGAAAGCTTTTGCTAATGATGCGCATTGTAGGTATTTTTGGGATATTCACTTTGGCATTCACTTGAAGAAAGGCTGCGTATGTTAGAAAAGGAAGAGAAAAGAAGCAGCAAGACGTTATTAGCAGAACAAGCTGGTATAAATACCAAAGTCCATTCTAACTCACCTCAGGAATATCAACAAAATTCTTGTTCAGATGGGATGAACTATATAAAGCAGCCACAAAGTGCGCCTAATGACATTGGTAGAGTGATGCTCAATGCTCGCTCCAGTTCACTGGTGGGATCTCCTAGTAGCCCATCCTTTGTACCTGAAGAAGATAGGACAGCAGGTACCTACTCGCCTCCCAACTTTCCAGATACATATGAACAAGATACCAATGCAACAGAAGAAAAGCCAAGTACGATGACGCCCGGTCGCAAACGCTGGCTTGCTCTTGTTTATGCACTTACATTCTTTATTCCCAGTTTTCTTTTGACAAAAATGGGCGGTATGAAGAGACGAGATGTTCGAATAGCCTGGCGTGAGAAATTAGCTCTTTGCTTTATCATCACTTTTATGTGCTGCTTTGTCATCTGGTTTCTAGTATTCTTTGGAGAACTCATATGCCCTCACCAAAGTGTCTTTTCTATAAATGAATTGAGAGGTCACAAAGCACCTGACAATGCATACGTAGCTATTCGTGGAGAAGTATTCAACCTAGGCGAATTTGCTTCACATCATTATCCTAGTATGGTCCCTACAAAGTCTGTCTTAACATATGCTGGAACTGACGCTAGCGAGATTTTCCCTATACAAGTGTCAGACTTGTGTGAAAACGTATCCCCTTATGTCTCTCTCGACTACCAACGAAACTACAGCGACCCAAATGCGGAATATCATGACTACACATACTCAAGTGGGAGCTATAAGCAAAACTGGTACTACGACCAAATGACAATGCTCCGAAAGAACTATAAAGTTGGACATATCGGCTGGGAGATGAAGGCTATCGATGATCAAGCAAAGGGTGCCTACAAAATGAATGGACAGTCCATGAACCGTTATTGGGCGGTCATCAACAACGCTGTGTACGATTTGACGCCTTATATTCTTGGAGGACGATACGTGTCTGCTCCACCGAATGAAGAAGCGCCTGCTAATATAAGCACTGACTTTCTTGATATCTCGGTTGTGAATCTGTTTTGGCAAAATTCTGGAACTGACATCACGGAAAAATTCAATGAGCTGCCCATCAGCAGTGATAAAAGATATAGAGAGCTTGCGTGTATCAGGAATTTATACTTTGTAGGCATGGTTGATTCGAGAAATTCTATCAAGTGTCAGTTCTCTACATATTTCTTGTTGGTTATTACTGTTTGCCTATGTATTGTCATATTCTTCAAATTCCTGGCTGCCCTGCGTATAGGAAGCCCTCGTATGCCCGAGGATCTTGAGAAGTTTGTCATCTGCCAAGTTACTTGCTACACAGAAGATGAAGATTCATTAAGGAAAACAATCGATTCGCTTGCCACTCTCAACTACAATGATAAACGCAAGCTGATCGTGGTCATTTGCGATGGCATGATTGTCGGTAGCGGCAACGATAGACCAACACCTAGAATCGTTCTGGACATCTTTGGTGTGGATCCTCAAGTAGACCCAGAGCCACATTCATTTTTATCTGTTGGGGAGGGAACGAAAAAGCACAACAGAGCCAAAGTGTTTTCGGGATTATACCAAGTCAGAGGCCACGTTGTGCCGTATCTAGTCATCGTCAAGGTGGGCGCTCCAAACGAACGACAAAAGCCTGGAAACAGAGGTAAACGCGATTCACAGCTGATCACGATGCAGTTTTTGAATCGTGTTTATTATGGTGCACCGATGAACCCTTTACAGCTTGAGCTTTATCATCAAATGAGGAATGTCATTGGTGTCCCTCCAGAGTTTTATGAATACGTTCTGATGGTGGATGCAGATACTGAGGTTATGTCTGATGGACTGAGTTATCTGGTATCGAGTATGGCGCATGATGCAAATATCATTGGTGTTTGTGGTGAAACAACACTCGCAAACGAGAAGGATACCTGGGTCACCATGATTCAGGTCTACGAATACTTTATTTCTCACCATATGATTAAAGCCTTTGAATCCCTGTTTTCTACTGTCAGCTGCTTACCAGGATGTTTCACTATGTATCGAGTACGTACAGTTGACGGCAAACGCCCGTTATTTGTCAGCAATGAAGTCATTGAAGACTACTCTGTTACCACAGTAGACACTTTACATAAGAAAAACTTGTTATACCTAGGCGAAGACCGTTACTTGACAACGCTGCTTCTCAAACACTTTCCAAATTTCAAAACCAAGTTTAACCCTGACGCACATTGTCAGACAAATGCTCCCGACACATGGAGCGTTTTAATCTCTCAGCGTCGACGTTGGATTAATTCAACCGTGCATAATCTGGGTGAACTCGTATTTCTACCACATCTCTGTGGTTTCTGTTGCTTCTCTATGCGCTTTGTTGTCATGCTAGATCTCATCAGCACTCTGGTTCAGCCTGCACTCTTGGGTTACTTGGGATTCTTGTGCTACAAGCTAGCCACTGCGCATAACCAGATACCCTACATTACCATCATGACTTTAGGATGCACCTATGGCATACAGATGATATTGTTCATTATGAACCGTCGTTGGGAATACGTTGCTTGGTTCATCGTCTCTATTCTTGCTCTACCTGTGTTTTCTTTCTACATTCCTATATACGCTTATTGGCACTTTGATGATTTCTCTTGGGGTAATACTCGAATTGTGGTTGGAGAAAAGGGCCAAAAGGTTATCATTAACGATGAAGGTGAATTTGATCCTAAATCAATACCACTGATAACGTGGCGAGAACATGAGAAAATGATGACCCCGGATATCGATCAAGTGTCACAAAGGAGCAGCTATCTCCTGCACACAGGCTCCGCTTACGGCCTCCCAGAATATACACCAAACCCCACATACTACAAGCAGCGGTCACCATGCTATCAAATGACTGCCAGTCAATCTATACCTGGATCCCTATTCGAAAGGGAATCATATACTAGCGAACGCAGTAGACGCTATCCAAATTCGCACGTATAGGCTATTTATTATTATAATAAAATCTACTACAAGTATTACAAATCTAATACGCAGCAGCTAAACCCATTTTACGAGGATCACTTGCTGCTTCAATTGTGCCATCTTCATTTCGCTTGACGATCTGAACTGCCGATACGCAGTATTTAGAAGGTAGGCGGAATATTGTGTGATTACGTTTGATGAGCTCTTTTTCGATTCTTTTGTCAAAACCGCGTTCAATAATGACCATGTTTGGCATTAGCTGATGATGAACACGAGGTGAAGCCACTGCGCTATATACATCTTTACCATATTCCAAAACATTAATGATAGCCTAAAGAGAAAGTAAGAATCCCGCGTTGTGTGTACAATGTTTATAGCATATACACTTAAAGTCACTGTTGGTATGAGCGAGCCTCCCGAACCTCCCAAAACCATTTCGAGAAGACCGTCTCTTTCGATAATCGTTGGAGTGATTGATGATAACGGTCTCTTTTTAGGTGCAATGTAGTTGTACTTGCTTGGATACAGTCCAAACTTATTGGGTGTCCTAAGAATATATTGGATTAGTCCGCCCTTTTGTTTTCCATGCATTGTTGGATGCGACAATACGCTACCCAGGTATAGAAAAATCGTCCATTTGGTCATTAAGCACAACACCTGTTCTTTCATCAAGAAGGTGAGAACCAAACATAAGGTTGACTGTAGAAGTCAAAGCTACGGCTCCATCATTCTCATCTATAACTGATAAGTGCATTGTTCCATGAGACTCAATGATATCAAACTTGGGCTCATAATAGAGCACATCATGCGTCATGTCATCCTATATGTTCAAGAACTTTTTATCAGCTCGAGCTGTAACACAGTCCTGACGACAGTTTTTTTTTATCTTACGGTTATCTTTTGCCTGATAGAGGCCGCGTAATCTTTTGTGCCGAGTTCGTCTTTTCTATCTTGGTTATCAATAAAGTCTGGGTCAGCCAATTCTGTTCTAAAAGCAGCACCAAATTTGAGTGCTTCAACCAGTCGATGCACATTCAATCCAGTCAAGCCTTCTACTTTGAATTGGAACCTTTCAATCAGATTTAGCACGCTTACTAACACACGGCCACTTGTTGGCTCAGAGGTCGTTATCACCTTTCGACCGTTATAGAAAGTGCTGATAGTGGGTCTTATGACGGGTGTGTATCCTTTAAAGTCATCCAGTGTCACAATACCTCCCGAAGACTGTATTTTTTCCACTAAGCTTTCTGCTATTTTACCCTCATAAAAGGCATTTGCACCATATTTAGCGACTGATTCTAGAGTGTCCGCCAACCTGGGCGATTTAATGATCTCCCCTGCTTTGGCTGGTCTTCCATTTTTGTAATATATATCCGTCCATTCAGTCAGATTGGACATCCAGCCTTGCTCTGACTATTCACGTTATTAGTTTTTTTTTATTTTTTTTTTCTTTTTTTTTTTTTTGTGTGTCGAATTTAGTCTTACCAAAAGCCTAGCCTCCAAAAGTGGAGTTACCTTGAATCCCTCACGAGCCATAAGTATGGAAGGTTCGAATAAAGTATGCCAGGGTAACTTTCCATGTCTATTTACCAGGATTAGTCATTGTAGCAATTAAATAGAAAGGGACCATCCTTGCCTTTTATGTGCTAATTCTAGTCCTCTCAGTTCGCCTCTAGATAATGTATCAGCTTAGTCACTCCTAACATCTCATTAGTCAACTTACGGCACTGCAACAGATAAGCCACCATGTTGAGCCAACATAGGATCTTTAACAAACATATCTTCCGTAGCTCCAGCTGGTGCTGTTTCTCTAAAGTCAATAAATTCAAAAGTGCCGTTAGGTGATCGAATAAGCATAAATCCACCTCTATAAGGCCCAAGCGTTAGTATTTACACAAAAAGATATAAGTGATCGACCTTACCCTCCAATGCCTATTTAAAAAGAAAAATGAGTAAGATCAATGCAGATGATCGATTTGTGTTACCTGTAGCAAAGGTATCTATGACGCCAATGCATAAAGTAGAGGCAATAGCTGCATCCACTGCATTTCCTCCCTTCTTCAAGGCTTTGTATAGATGCACACAGATAAGTACGCTTAAATGTATACTTTTCATTCATTTACTTTCAACACCAATATTAGAACACTGTTCTGCCTCTACTGCAACCGCTCCTTTTGTTCCCTTTGCGATATGTCCCACAAATTCTACAGGACTATCTAATTGAACATTACCTAAGCATAATCATAAGAAAGTCAGCGTCCTGAACTTCATATTTAAAAGAGGGGAGACGCTTACTTTCATAGACAAAGTGGCCAAGAAACAATGAAGCGGTAAAAAGGACAACACCAGTAGCAATATAATAGCCATACTTTTGAAGTGTTGACCTTTTATTCTTCTTTTGACCAAACAATGGCTGGTATTCTTCTATATCTGACATGTTGAAAAAAAGAGAAAAATTAAAAGAGGTCCAGCTTCTTTTAAACGTGAAACATAAGCACACACTTCGGAGCTTCCGGAAAAACAGTTCCTTCAATCGAGATTGGTTGACAAAAAAACATACATCATAGACTTCACAGCACACACGCGCGCGCATAAAGCATATTCACAACAATACAATTTTTATAAGACTATCGAGGCAAAAAAAGGGGGGCATTTATGTATACAGAAAAAAGCAACACATTCAATTTCCACAAAAAATAAGTGTTTATTTTTCCTATTAAAAAATCACACATATATTATTAATACACACAATTCATTAAAAGCTATCAAATATACTTACAGGAATTTCGATCTCACCAGCGTCAATAGCGTCTTGAATATCCTTGGGGCTTTGACCATCGACGGTACAACCAACAGAGAAAGCAGTACCAAGGATTTCCTTGACAGTACCCTTGAGTTCACGAGCCAAGGACTTGAAGCGCATGGTACGAGCAATTTCAATAACATCATCAAGAGAGATGTTACCAGAGTGCTTGATGTTCTTTTCCTTCTTACGGTCACGAACGGGTTCCTTAAGAGCCTTGATGACTAAAGAGGAAGCGGAAGGAACAACGGAAACTTGAGCTTGACGGTTTTGAATGGTCAATTGGACAGTGACACGGAGACCCTTCCAGTCCTTGGTACCCTTGGCGATATCTTCACCAACCTTCTTGGGGGACAAACCAAGAGGACCGATCTTGGGGGCTATATTAAAAAGTCAATTGTGTGAGCTGATGGTTGAATCGTGTGTGTATATAAATGCTGAAATTTACCAAGAGCACTGGAGGCACCTACTTCACCACTAAATTAATGTTAGCTGAACCGTTTCGTTGAATTGTTATCTCTTTATGTTTTCTCTCTCTCTCTTTACCCTGTAGCACGGAGGTAGATGATCTTAACCTCACTGGGATCGAACTTGGGAGGCATCTATATGTATATAACAAGTGTCAATCAAATGGATGGATGGATGGATGGATGCGGCATTCTTACGTTGTTATAAAGAGAAGGTTCATCAATTTGGCAGCTGAATGGATGTTTGATACAGGAGTGGCAAATAATTAAAACGCCGCTCACTGCCGATTCAGCGAGTGTGCTTGAAAGGGGGTTTTAAGATGAATCAAACAATTTAATACAGACGATGATATTTGTTGACGCTTTGAACAAAGAACATGCTTAATATAGTGCTTTCTCTCATAACAATAACTTTTTTTCAAAAAGACCCTTCTTATTCTAATAAATAAATACAATGGGTGATTTTATTGTCAAGTCGTTAACGTCTTTTGTTATTAGTCAGCTCTTGTTCATTCTCTAACTGTGTATAAAAATACATTTAGTCAAAAGAGATATAAGTATGGATCTTCCCTTTCTTTACCTTTCTCTTTGTTCCTCGTTTTGGCTCAACTTGTTGCTTCTTTTGCTCATTTTCTTTTTGTTTCCATATCTTTAATTTTTCATTAAAAGCAGCTTGACGATGTTGAGATCGCGCATCGGTTGCAAAGCGAAAAGGCTACAAGAGAGAAAGAGGTTAAGATGAATGCGGTGTGCCTTTCTATGATCATGTACCTTGACTTCAATATGTCTCTGTTCTTTCTTAGGCTTAGACTGACTTTCTTGACTAGATTGATCTTTATGGTGGCTATTTGATCTTCTAAGAGTAGCAATTGTCTAAAGGAAGAAAGAAAGGGAAAACGTTTAGCTAGAGAAAGAACAAAAAATAGCACTACTTACTTCTCTTGCATAATTAGGCACAGATGTGTTTGTAGAAGATTGAGTGCTCTTTGATCTTGCGACAACTGTAGGAGTATTAGTTGTGGCAGTCGTAGTTGTTGTAGAAGTAGTATGATTAGAAGGAGTGGTTTTAGGTGGTGATTCATTAGAGCGACTATTCTTTGTTGAGGTTGTTGCTGTAGGGCGTGATGCCTGAAAAGTTGGCAGTTAGTAAAGTTATACATACTATTAATCAACTTACGGGTGCCTTATTTGAACCATTGCCTAAGCCTTTTTCAAACATTTTTATACGTGCAGCCATGGGAACATAAACATCGTCTGGCGACATTTCATTTTTAATTTCTTCAATTGCGTTAATAGACGTCGTAGACTTGTATTTGGGTATCTTGGACATTCCAACACGTTTCTACAGAAACAAAATGAACATCATATTTAAAAGCTATTCAAGATAACCATACCGTGATTCCACCAGGGCGAGGCTTTAATATATCCTTTTGCTTTCTCTCTTCTTTTCTTGAATTAAACCGGTTCTCATATGCATAAGTGCCTTGCATGTAATGAGGCAATGTATTGTTACTATGGCTATCTTTTCGTTTCTTTTCAATTTTTTCTTCTGTTTGGTCTTTATTTCTTTGTTGAATTGATTCTTTGATGGCTACTTCTTTCACTTCCTCTTCCTGCTTCACAACAGCTTCTCTCCACTGCCCACGATCTTCATTCTTTATTTCGATTGAACTGTATTTCTCACTGGTTTTTCTTAAAGGGCTACCGTAACTGATAGCCGTCGTTCTTTCAGGTGTTCTAATGGGATCCCTGGGTGGCGAATCTGTCACTAAGGACTTGAATCTTTCACTGTATCTGCTTTTATAACGTAAAGGGCTACCATTTTCAGTTGTATTATGCTCAGTGCTATTAGAACGAAGAGGCGAAGCCATGTGTGATTATAAAAAACAAAGAGAGAGAAAAAAAAAGGACCTATTGTGCCTAACGCGGCTGTCTCCCGCGCTATTTCGCGTGACTGTATTTTAATTTACACAAAAATAAGCGTTTATTCAGCAATGCTTGCCATTTCATTTGGCAAAAGGTAAAAAGATGGTGTGTTAGCTCTTCAAGCTACTTCTTAAAAGGGCTGCTTCTTCAATATTTTAGCCTTTGGTATTAGTTGGTTTATAGGTGTATATCTTGATGTAACCAACAAATGAGAAATTTCAGAAAAATATGTATCCCCAGACGATTGGCCAAAGATAAGCGACATTGTTCAAAAAGGATATCTCAATGCACCAAAGTTTCACTTTCAAATATGGAATCAAAGTTCCATTTTCGTACAGCCCATAAGCAATTTTAAAAAGACTAGTGACATTATTTCCATTTTTATTTCGTATTTCTCTTTATTACTGTTGATTCCCTATATTGGAAAGCACTACAAGGATAAGGCGTTAATTAATAATATGCTGATTGTTGAAATACTTACAGAAGCTTATGAACTTCGATTTCAAGGTCAAAGGCTCTTTTTTGGAACAGTTTTTTGCAATTATTAATGTATTCCTCGAATAGATCAAAAGTCGAGGGCCGGTTGGTAGAACGTGTTTCCGATCTTCTCGGCGAACTTGGCTCTGATACTCCTGGCGAACTAGGTTCTGATATTTTTGACAACGTGTACTTTGTCTTACGAGACGCGGTGCGGGTCGCTCTATTCAAGGCTCTTGTACCTTCAATCATGGCTCTTTTATTAAGTCGAGCCTCTACAAAGAGAAGACTCAAATCAGCGTTGTTATGGAACTTTTTTTTTTGGTAATCTTGGACATGCTTCTTCGTAAGTAGCAGTAAATTTTTTAAAAATGATTTTTTCGCGTCTCAAGAGAACTGAAGCTTTCAAACCATTCAACAATGGACTGCTTGCATTTTCCCTTATCATTGTTTATAAATCCAGTTATTGAGGACCTGTTGGTTTTTTTAGAAAAAGTTCTTTCAAACCTAGAAGGGAAACACTACGTGCACCATAAAATACACCAGAAGCTAGACTAATACCATGGGCGCTACCTCTACCCATTACCTATGACGTCGCCTAAGAAACTATTCAATGTATGATGCCACGCTAAACATGACTTTAGAAAGTTGTCATCTTGGTTTGTTTCTTTTCAGAAAGATAAAAAAGAATATTTTTTTTTCGATTTTATACTGTCAGTTTGATCAACAAAGATCACTTGTGATAAATTCTTATTTACATTACTTAATCTATTTTCTGGTGTATGTAGTGTTTCAATATATAAGTCGTTATTGTTGCTAAGAGACAAGATAAATAAGCTAAATATGAAGTTTTCTTTACATGTTGCAAGCTCGGACATGTTTAGAATTTGTTTGTTTTTAAAGGAGAGAAAGTGATTGGAGAATTCTTGATACACTCCTTTATCACACTTCCTCCACCAGAAAATTAAAAAAAAAAAGTGATAATCCTTTCTTTCAGCATCACTATGTCGCTGATAACTGGTCTTTAAGTGATTATTGCCTTGCCTTAATACTCTTGGTATATAGAGAGTTCTATCACACCCTAAGATAACTTCGTATTATTATTGATTTTATTTTTTATATTCAAATCGACTAATTATATTAACCAGTAGATCAACCAGGAAATAATGAGAAAGAAGTCCTTTTGGGGGATGTAGATGCAGCCGTGATTGAGTACCAGTATGTCATCGATGACTGGGCCCTTTCTTATTATCATTGGTATATTACACGCTCTATCGTATATCTAAGCTTATAATATCTAAAGAATAACTGAAGCTTGAAACAATGTCTATTATTTGGAGGATCTTCGAGAGTTCTGTCGTTATTCAGATTCAAAACTGCCAACTTGTTTAAATAAAGAGCCTTTGTAAAAGATTGCACAGCTGTACAATAAGTAATTCGGAGGCTATGCAGTCTTTGCTTTTTACGTGTGCAATCCAAAAATTACATTCATGTAATCTGGATTTTTTATGTGTATTTGCGTAATATATTTCTGGAAATGGTGTAGATCAATGATTTTGGAGATTTCAGTAACTTCTTCGTCCGAATAATCTGGAAATCCGTTTACCCATGTTTTCTTCAAAGAATTCGTCAATTCGGCCAACAGATTATCTCCGGACACTGCTCTAACTTCACCGCAGTGCTAATTCGGCTTTAATAGAAGTGTGACAATACAAAAGTAATAAGAGATAATAGGACATAGTAAGACTGAATTAATGCTTGTATTGATAAAGGGTGGTTCTTATTTATACTTTAAGTTTTCTGTGGGATTATAGTTGATGTGGGTCTAACTGTTGTTCTGAGGTAGAGCAGTTAATTAAGGGTTTCCTAGTTGTTACTACTGTGGCATCTGAAACAAGAAATGATGCTCTGCACTAGTGTTTGTTATTGTAAGGATAGTTTCCTTAGTTTCAATAAGCGTGAATAATGTTCAGATACGACAAGAAGTATGTCTTGCACCGCACAAAGAAATGCATTAGTCAAAATATGTCGCTTTTTCAGAACGGCTATACGTATGTGGCAACTTACAGAGCTTGCTCTAGGTTTCCTCCCAAAAGAACACTATTTGCTTCATTGAACAATAGCTCGACAGAATTCAACTTAAAAGTTTGAAGTAGCCTTGTTATGTTTCTCTGTTTAAAAACCCAATCGTCCTCGTTGTTGGCTTCGATTGCTTGTTCTGAAAGAGTTATCGCCACCAAAGGTACGCGTCTCTATAGAAGTGGTTAGAAAAATGGATCATGTTTTATGATTATAATGTCGATAATGCGAGCACATTTACTCTTTTTTCTTCTCGTGGGTTGTCGTTAGACAATCCGGCCTAGTGTATTCGGTAAGTATCTTTATATTTACCATTTACTTTCCCGCCTTCCCCCACACTCTTCAACATTTTTCTCTTCTCTTTTTCTTCCTTTAACCTTTTTTTGTACCCGCCATTTACCTTTATCTTTCTGTTAAGATCCGTGTGGATCGTTCTCAACAGTAATTACATCGACTCGTCGTGCTGCTCCTTTGCTTCGATGTCTCTACGGTTATCAGGCTATCCAAAAAAAAAAAAGGGATAAACGATATGCTACTTACCACATTTTATATAAGAGGGCGTTTCAAGTAAGAAATTATTAAAATAATAACAGAAAAGAAAATGAAAAAGATAGACTATTGCAGCTCTAGAAGAATGCTAAAGGAGTTATTTAAAACTACGAATAAAGGAAGCGCAATGACCACTTTTTTTTTTTAATTATGCAAGCTGACAATAAGAGTTGTCATTAATCAGACTAAACATAGACATTATAAGCTCAGAGAAAAAAAAAAAGACGGTATAAATTTTATTATAGTGTTCATCTTTATTTGCTATGATACCAAGCACATAAATTGTGGTCAGTCAATGTCTTTTATATTGAAAGATAAGCCTTTGAAAAACGTCAAAATGAGACCTCTGACAACATGTTTGCAGGTGTTTAATAAATGCATATAGATGCTTACTCCTTTTTTTTATTTTGCTTCAAATAACTTGAGCTAAATTCAAGCGTTAAAGGCTATTGAAAGCACTTTCAAACAATGTGGTTTGCTGTTACATGACCTTGGTTCACAACAAGTAAAAGAGACTCTGGTAATAATCCTTGAAGGAAACTCACTTTTAGTATTGACTTGGATGTCCATGATCAACCAAAGCATATCCCCACTTGATAGGTTCAACAAAATGCTTACATGTAAGATTCTATCATGCCTACACTAATCTAATTTTAACGTCTCTAAAGTGTCCCCCCTCATTCTGTGCAGATCTCTTTCTCTCTTTCTCACTCTTTCTAATTCAGTTTCCGCTATTATTATTCTCGAAAGTTTTTTTTTTTTTGATTTCCACTGTTACTCTTTTCCAAATGTCAAGTGAGAATTTAACCAACCTTGCTAAACCAACGTCAGACGCTACGATTACAGTTCGCTGTATAAAGAACTTTGAATATCGCACATGTAAAAACCTCGTTCTTCAACACGTTAATTTGGAGACTTGCACTGTTGGTGATTTAAAAAAGCTCGTTTTAGAAAGTAACCTCTTGTTTTGTAACTTTTGCTTGGCATTAACTGAAACCTATCAATAACAGAGATTCATACACAGCCTGGCTGGAAACCCTATTTGAACGTCAAATTTGGTATAAATCAACAATCTTGTTCGTTACTTTTTATATAACTAGGGATTTAAAAATAGATACGCTTAAAGTTTATACAGTAGCTCATGGCCACAAGGTAAAACAAAGACAACATGTTCCTGATGTGACACTAAGGATGTATATTTAGACTATGAACCTTATTATCAATACTGAGGATGATGACAAGTTGATCCTTTCGGACGATAGTGCTGTATTGGCTTGGCAAGGCATTGGTATGCATCATTTATGTTTTTTGTAGCTCTACTAATCACAACAATAGAAAATGAGACTGAGCTATCCTTCTTTCATATGGAAGACTATAAACAATTCAAGTCACATCCTGATGTCATTAAATGGTAAAAGAATATCCTTCATTTAATAAAAATATCCAAATTTAGACTTTTTAAAAAAAAAGTGTTACAGAGCATTGTCCTACTTTTTTTCTTTAGTATCTTTCCTCGTGTAAATCGTCAATCAGAAAAAGCAATCGCCTACTTAATGTTGTCTCGTTGTATCATTCCGTAATTGTGGAAAAGAGAAAAAAAAAGGACATATAAAAGAGAGTGTCTTGTATTTCCAAGGTCAATTCTTTTCCTTATCCCTCATCCTTTCCTTCCTTTTTCCTTCCTTTACCCAATGGTTCGCGTACTGTCCTTAATCTGCGCTGCTGTCACTCTCCTTTCGTCTACTGTTGTTGCCAAAAAGGCTGATGTAGTTACGCAATATACAGTCAGCTGTAAAAAGACTTATATCGTAAAGAATGGTGATACTGTAAGTCTCTACTCCATCAATCAATATATAATCCTCACTATTCATGATAGTGTAGTAAAATCGATAAAGCATTTGGTGTCTCATTCAATCAATTGAGAAGATGGAATCCTTCAAGTAAGCGAAATAATGACTTGCTGATCAATGGGATACTTATATGTTTTATTTTAGTCAATTCCCGTTGTACCAATCTCTACATCGATCAAATCCTTTGTCTTAGTGCTCCTACCACGCATACCTCTCAAGTCACTGTTGGCACTCCTACGCCTACAAAGACAAAGACTACTACATCCAAGACGACAACCACTGTTTTGACCATGACAAACGCTGGTCCTGAATGTAGAACAGATGATGACTGTGCTGGTGTTCGGTAAGTTGTTCAACAAGAAAAAAAAAAGCATTGCTAAGCTCACACAAAAATAAATCAGCTGCTGTAACCTCTTTACGAACAAGTGTGTCCTTGATCCTGATGGTACCATCTGTGATATTCAACCTACAACAACCATCGTCAAGACAACTGTCTCTGGCACTAAGACCATCACCACCAAGGTCACGACCAAGAACACGACACCTTCTACACCTACAGCCACAGCTACGCCTGGCCTCAGCGGCTTAACTGTTCAAATCTCTAGCTCCTCTGATTTCTGTCTCTTCTTACCTCCTTCTCCTGGTAACAAAGATGCCAACGGTGGTAAGGTAGATAATGATGCTATCGCTGACTCTGAAAAGAATGCAGTTGCCTTTTGTACCAAGCCTAATGTCAACGCTCCTGGTGCTGGTATCTTCCCTTCAGGATTTATCAAATCTGCTAAATACCAAACAAACTCTGCTGCTGGTTTTGTTCAGGTTCGCGGTACGCTCAATATCGCTGCTTACCAGCTGAGCAGCAAGGACGATGGTGGACAGTACGATAACCATGGAAGCGGCTCTCCTCCACATTCTGCCTGTGCTGGTTATCCTTACTATGTCAGTTTGATCGAACCAAGCTCTGCTGATTTTTGTATCAGATGGTAAATAGAACATTATTATTTTGTTTATATATATATACTCATCTTTTTTATAGTTGTGAGAAATACTCTGACTGTAATGCTGGCAGAAGCGCCTATGGTTGTGATCGTGTTGTTCCTGCTCTTTAAATAAATCTCTCTTTTTTTAGATTACCATATTTGTGTGCATCTTTTTTTTTTATAATAATTATTATTTATCAATTTCTACTATTACTATTATTTTTACAAGTTTCTTCAAATAAATGACCTCAGAAGTAGCAGATCCAGCTGTGAATCCAATACCAACCAGCGTGACAATCACAAATGAGTCCACACCATTACTATCTCAAGAAGCAACAGCAACAACAAGTAGCTCAAGCTTCCGACAACAACAACAGTCATCGGTCTGGTCAATGAGCACAGACATGTCTATTCGAAAGAGAGAAATAAAAGGTGTGATCTTGCTTGGAGCATCGTCTGTGTTCTTTGCGATCGTATCTGTATTTGTAAAATACTTGGGCAACACTATACCTTCTTTTGAAATCGTCTTGGCAAGGTCTGCCATACAGCTATTCCTTGGCTTGATCGTTTGTGTTTTTCTTGGCGTCAATCCATTAGGAAAGAAAGGCTATCGACGATGGATTCTATTGAGAGCGCTCGTAAGTGCAAGTGCATTGTGTTTGTTTTTCTATAGTCTGACAAAGTTGCCATTGATTGATGCGACAGGTAAAACATGAACAGAAACATGTAGACACTTTGTTAATACTTTAATAGTCTTATTTTTTGTGGGTCCCATATTCAAGACCATCGTTGCCTCTGTCGTCCTGAACGAGATGTATTCTTTTAAAGATGGATTTTATTCAGTTATTTGCTTTATCGGACTATTATTTGTCATCAAACCGAGCATCTTTTTCAACGTTATTATCGATACCTCAAGGTCTGTTGCCGTACTCTGTGCCCTGACCGGGGCTCTCATGTCAGCGACGGCCTATGTGACAGTGCGAAAGATAGGACAGGAGACGCATGTCTTGGTGCATATTGTTTATTTTGGATTTGTTGCGTCCATAATCAGTCTCTTGGTCTACTTGGTTCGCTTACAACAGTTTGTGATACCTGACTATCATCAGTTCAATAATGACCTTTGGATGCTTGGTGCCATTGGACCCATTGCATTCTTGGGGCAATTTTTGCTCAGTCAAGGGTAAGTCTCTCTCTCTACACATCTTTACATATTTCTCACTCACACACATTCAGACTCAAGATGGCCCCTACTGGCCTGGCAAGCGTGATACAAGCAAGTGATGTCGTATTGGCATTTATCTTTGGCATCGCCTTGTTCAAAGAGTATCCAGAATTTAGCACGATCGTTGGCTCAATGGTTGTAGTCCTAATGACCACATGGGTCAATGTAAATAGATGGCGTATATACATGACAAAGAATGCTGCGATCAGAAGACGTAGATCTAAAGATAGACTTCAGCAGCAGCAACAACAAAGACAATAATAATAAAAATACACTTTAATATATACATTTACAAAATCAAGGTTTGAAAACACTAGGTTCACCAGGGATCCATTTACGAAGGGGTTGTGGTATATCAATCGATCCATCCTCTCGCTGATGTGTTTCTAACAAGGCAATCATCACTCTGGGCACTGCCATAGCTGTGCCATTCAACGTGTGACAGTAATTGACCCATTTCTCTTTCATATGCCAGGGTACACGTACCTCCTTGGGTCCTACATTTTCTTTAAACTGAGAAGACAGATACCGAATGTCTAATCGACGGGCTTGATAATCCGTGCAGTTTGAAGTGGATGAAATCTGAGCATACGTTAGTCATCCGACACTATATAAAAGTATACATATACCTCGCCCCAGCCATTCTTTCCTGGCATCCATGCCTCTATATCATATTTCCTATAAGCACTTGCGCCAAGTTCTTCTGTAGGCATATCCAATACACGGAAACACAGTCCAAGTTCGGTAAACATATCTTCCTGGAGCGACAAAAGCTCTTGAAGGATACCTTCGCTCTGACTTGGCGTTGTCACTGTAAACAGCTCGACCTTTGAGAATTGATGAACTCTATACAACCCACGTTCCTCAGCCGACCCATGACCTGCCTCGGCTCTAAATGAATGACTGAACCCGACGACGCGTTTAGGCAGTTCCTCTTCCTTGAGCATCTTTTGAGCAAACATCCCTGCCAGTGGAATCTCAGCGGTTCCGGCCAAACAGAGCTTAGGCGCTGTGGTGTGGGCCATACTGGCCGTTGACACATCATAGATCTGCGACGCTTCCTTCTTCCGAGGCTGAAACCCGCAGCCATAGGCGATCGACGTACGCACGATATCAGGAGCCAAGACAGGCATGAACCCTCTCGCGGCCGCCTTATGAAGGGCATACTGGATCAAGGCGCATTCGAGCCAGGCGCCTGCGTTCTTGAGGTAATAGAATTTAGACCCGGTTACGACAGCGGCTTGTTCGAAATCGACCATATCCAGATTCTCGGCCAAGGTGAGATGATCACGCAAATGACGTTCGGTGCGTGGTGATCCTACCGTCTTGACTATGGTTGCATTGGTCTCTGGGCCACGAGGGGCATCAGGATGAATGTCGTTGGGGATCAACAGGGCCTGGTTGATCAGATCGGACTCAACTTGGACGAGTTTTTCTTCCACTTGTCGTAATTGATCTTTCCAATGCTTTGCTTGATGGATAAATTCGTTGCGTTCTTGTTTGGAGTTCGCTGACCGAATCGACTGGTTGATCTCGTCACGTCGATCACGAAATGAAGCTGCTCTTTTTTCGAGCTCGGTCTTTTCGTCAGAAAGTCGTTTCACTTCGTACACACAGTCGGGCTCATAGTTTCTTAATCTCATGCTATTCGCTACTGATTCGACGTGTTTGGCATAATGACTCAAGTTTAACTGAGGAGGAATTCTATGAATGTCATCTTGTGTTGTGTAATATCGACACTTCCAAGCTTGTCGATATTGTTGTCGAAAAGTTGTTCTAAGCATAAGAAAAAAGAAAAGCCCTGGTCCAAAATGTCATTTTGAATAGCCGCGAACTTTTTAACATTTTTTTTTTTATTAAATGAGAGAGCATTAATGAATATTTATATACACATAAGGAAAGAGAAAAAAAAAAAAGAAAGAATAGAGTTGATATATAAAAAAAGAAACATAGAGAGAGATCATGTACAAGAGATATATATATGTATAGTGAAGAGCTTATTACATCATAGGGTGTTCATCAATAAAAAGGAACTTGTTCATCTTGCGAGGATTAAAATATCGGAACCTTGCTTGACTTTTACCACCATTGATAAATTGAGGCTGAACCTTGGACGATGCTTGTGGACTTGGTGGAACATAATTGTTAAACTGAAGAAATGGAGGTGCTGTTGAAAAAGATGACTTTCTGGAATGTTGAGGAGAGACAGTGAACTGATTTTGAAATGAGATCGATCTTCTGGGCTGCTTTAATGATTTTGGAGGCTGCTTTTGAGATAAAGTGGGAGACAGGGTCGCGTGAGGTTTGAGATGGGCCAAAAAGAAGTCAGGTTTCTTCATAGCCGTCGTATCCTCTATCGTGGCTGGGCGATACGTATTGAGTTGATGTCGACGAATTTCGACTTGCATCCAGTCTGCGACTTGAAGCCAGTTCTTGGAGTTGAATTGAAACTCTCTTGTGTTTCGTAGGATATCAAATGACTTGGTCAGTCCATGGTGAAAGTCTTCCATCTTAATGCCTCGTAGTATTTTTGCTTGGTCGTCAGGGGAGGCGCAGGTATGATAAATGTCCATCGCAACCGACACAATTTCAGCCGCTCTCCAGAGTTCGTCACGGTCAAAGGCGCATCGACCGACATCGACCATGTTGCATGTCTTGACGGTGCTCAGTTGAGTCAGGGCAGTCGAAAGACAGATGTTGAGTGAATCGAGAGAGGTCTGACTTGGACGAGGATCGTGCATTTCAGGAATAAATAGCTTGTGAAGAATGATGCGGGTTGCGTTGTATTCGATGTTGACGCGCAAACAGGCCATGAAGAGGTCACCGGTACCGTATTCAAAACCACTGTCCAGCTGAAGGTACTTGGGTAATCCCTCGTAAAAGGAAATCAGACGCTTGTCATATTCCACTAGTTGCTCGATGGTCAATTCTGAGTTTTCGGTATCGTAAAGAGCCGCAACAATATCTGCTTGAATTCGCCAAAGGGTAAGACAGTGGATGAAGGCGATAACTCCAATTTCTGTGTCATCGATATCTTGTTCAAACACCTGAGGAAGATCGATTTCGCCAGGAACGCGAGGTTGAGGCGTGTTCTTGGGCGCACCAGCTGACCAAAGGTAAAAGTCAATGGCCCAGACGAACCACCAGAGACGAGTGTCCATTTCCTTGTCATAACAGTCAGCATCCTCGTGAGCCATGCGTGGGTAAATTTCGAGCTCATGAAGAGCTGAAACAGCCATACCGATATAGTGGTGACGTCGGGAAGGTTCAGCACGGACGCACATGTAGAGTAAGGCAACAATAGTATATCGATCAGGGGTATCAAATGACTGGGCGAGACATTCACGAGCACAGCTGAAAAAGTACTCTTCTTGTTCTTGAAGCTTGTCTTGGTCTTTGAGAAAGTGCATAAATTGAGGATGCGGATGGTGAAAGACCATGTGACGAAAGACGTACGAACAGATTGCGTTCACAATTAATGTGTCTGTCGGTCGTTCCTGGGCCCTGTACCAGGTCATAAATTCGTCTCGTTTAAGGATCGGTTTAAACCGCACCCAGCAGGTGAAATAGGTGTCGATACATGCGTCTGCTATTTCTCGCAGGCTGTGAGGTGAATCTAGAGTGGAGTGTGCGTTTGGTATCTGACCTAGATCACAGGTTGAGGCAAAATAATTGACAGGCTTTGTTTGGTTGCTTTTATTGCGGCAGAGAACGATCTTGTTGTTGATTTGAGGTGCTTGTGTGGGACTGCTGATGCTCTTGTCTGTACAGCAGAGATGACTGAAAGCGTCAATTAGGGAGCGTAGGTCGGAGGCATTGGAAATCTTTGCTTCAAGGTTGATTCCTTTGTCTGTGCAGGAGAATTGAATTTTCGAAAAAATGTCAGCAGTACGTGGATTAATGGAGGATAAGTCGACAAATGAATCAAGTGGTTGAGGAGAAGAAGGAGATAATGCTGTTGAAGTAGCAGACAGTCCAGTGAAATAATCGTCCTGCCAACAAAGACTAGAGGGAGGTGTTATATTGTCTAAGCTTGAAGAGTCGTGTGGATCAGAGGAGTCGTTTGAATATGGTATATCAATTGGTATTGTTGAAGGAGTATGAATGTAATCCATGGGAGGACTTGAGGTAATAGAAGATTGGTAATTGTTTTCAAGAAAGGACGAACTTTCAAAATTATTCTTTTGATTATTAAATATTTCAATGGTCGTATTATACCAATCATCATCCTCATCTTCATGAAGTGATGATAGATTGGCTCTAATCCTTTTATTTGATCTCTTTACTGTGTCAAAAGGCATAAGTTGAGTAAAAAGAGAAAGAAAGAGGTTCTTGTGGGAAAAATAGGATTTTTTCTTTCTTGTAGACTAATTCGTGACACAAATAACCTCTTCTGACTCAAACTAGTCGTGATTGGGTTATCTTTATTTATTCTTTTACCCTCTCCCCCCGAAGTTCCCTATTGATATTACTCTTGTCATACTTTATATTCTCTTATCTATTACAGGTATCATATAATGTCCCTTCCTCCCCAGCTTTTTATTTCTCAGTCGGCCTATTTCCCTTTCCCTCAATAAAAAAGAAAGCCAGTAACATAATGGCAATCATTTTTCCAGTACCACGCTGATTTTGTGTAGCGAAAAAGTCAATGGGGAAGCAAGACAATAAAAGGATAATAACAAAAAATCGTATTTGTAAACTGAGGCACATGTTATCTATTTATTAAACGCTTACTTTAATGGCAACAGAGTTACACTAACAAAGGGACCAAACAAATTAATTGTTTTGCTTTGGTAACCCATCACCATAGCAACAAGAAGAAAAAAATAAAATAACGCATCATTTGCAAAAAAAAATGGATCACCTTGCTTGATTTTTAATAGGCAACATAGTCATATGGAATTGTGTAACTAGTAACAGATCTCCATTAGTAAACTGGTTACTAAGATTACCGTCTTTTTTTTAGATTAAGTCAATCATATGAGAGCATCTCCATTGGTAATTTGTTGACTCCGCTATTTACGACAAGTATATAAAAAAAAAACCTGGGCTCCGACTAGTTCTGCTATGCTTATTAACTTTCCGAAAAGTCGTTTTTGCTCAATGTGATGATTATCCTTTTTATGTACACACAATAGCTTCAAGTGTCATGCTTTTTTTAATTATTACATTCATGCGTATGTCATGTTTCCCTTGCATAAATCTTACCCCTTCTTTTTTTTTTTCTTTTGCCCCTGCCCCTGTGACAGCCCTTGAATGTGAATACTGAAATGTCAAGTTGAAAGACTACCTTGTTATCTTATGCCAATGTATGTTCCAGACACTTTCCTTTGATAGCTAAAGTATGTGATGTACTACAATGTAGTACCATGCTATGGAAACATATCACATTGAACGTGGGATACTAAAACTTTATCTAATATTAAGCCTCTCCTTTATTTTTCCTCTTTAGCTATTTATTCCGATATAGTTATTTAGGTTACCATGCTACAAATAGAGTACATGTACAGCGTTACAACGGCTGTTCTATTTTATTATTTTATTCTGAACGCAACTCTAAAAGAGATTTCGTCATAAACTCATATTATTTGCTCAAACAGAGAGAGATAGAGAGAGAGATAGATCGCCCACAGGTAGGTGGCACACACTTTTTTTTCTGTCTAGCCATCAAAAGTTGAAAGGGAGAGGGGCCCTATTATCCTACACATTATATAATTTCCCAGGGGCACAACCCTAGCACTTTAAATAGCTGAAGTAAGTGAGGAAAAATAAAAAGCTGCGCATGTGATAGTAGATAACCTTTTTAAGCATATCTATTGTATCTTTCTCAAATGGTGTCCTGGACTCTTTTGCGCAAACAGATGTCCTGATGTAAGTATGTAATAACATATTCAGTGAATATCTTTGAAAAAAAATTATTGGTTGTAAGTCAGTTCATAGCCATATTTATTCCCCCGTTATCGCTTGGACCCAATATAGTTGCTATACCAGGCATTTGAGACTGCAAAAAGACATAATCTAGCAAATGCTAATAAAAATCCCGCCATGTTCCGCGGAAGTCTGTGTTTCGTTTGCAATAGATTATCGATGAAACCAGATCGCTGTTTCTTAAACTGTTTTTCGCTGATTTTCGTAAATGCACGCAGACACAATGCAAAAGTACATGAGAAGAATAAAGAGAAAGCTTATGCACATGACATACTTGTTTTTAACCTTGCTCACTTGATTCTAGTAACAAGTGAACTACCCGTAAAGGCAAAGGCTATAAGATTCACAAATTAAAAATAGCATCTATCTTTTGTAACAGAAAACTACAAATATAGAAAGAATAAAAAATGGCATATTTTACCGTGATTATTACAGCATATATGTCAATAAGCTTCTTCCACAAACTCAATGCTCAGTCCTGTCGTGTGGTTACAACACACGCAATCGACTTTGAACATTTAAAATGGTTCCAGTAGGTTTGATATATGTATCGTCTGTTGCACAGTTGCACCCTTTCAAATTTTGAAGTACAGGTCCACATGCTACTGAACGACCATCATTTAAATGAAGAAGCTGTCACCAAAGTATACAAAACCTTGTAAGCTACTTGTCTTTTTTTACCGCAGTAAAAAAAAAAAAAAGAATATCTTGGTTTTTCCTAAAGGTTACAACTTCAACCTTTTTTGATAAATTGGATTCACTCTGAATGAAACGGGACATTTCTTATCTCGGCTAAATAATGGCACCCAAGGCAAGATGGTTTTGCCCAGTGAACATTCTCTGAGATTCTTATAGTAGGTGACCATTGGCAGATATGCCACGTTACATTCTGTCTCCAAAACATTTCCCATCATATACATCTTTTGTACTTATTGTCCCTCATCAAAGAGCAATAAAAGTCTTTACGAGAAAGGATACCCGTTATGACTTCCGTAGAATAGTAGACATGAAAGTCAGTCTCGACTCAAAGGCATGAAATCAAAAACGATTCCATCCTTGGAGAAATGGAATAAAAAGGGATTTCCAAAAAACCGGAAAAAGGCGGGCAAAGCCTTATAGTATACACACCTACTTCAAAGGACGTGACTATAGACGCGCAACGTTCATGCAAAGAAAAAGCATGAAAAGTTTAGAACCACACGTCTCACTTGAAATAGACAATTGTCTCTAGACAAAGTATCATTTTGACCAGAGTCAACTTTCTAAAAGAGTGCTTTGTTCTCAATGATTATCTAATGCAAGTCTATCTTATTTTTTTCTGCAGACAAAAAAATCCACTTAAATATTCTGCAAGTCTCCTTCATGCTGAAGTGCGTTGTGTCTCTTTCCTATTATAGTAATCACAGACCCCATATAAAAAGCAAACGTTGTTTTATTTTTTTCTTTTGTGCGCGTTTTCATCAAATATGGCAAACGATATAGATACTCTTGTCAGCATGGGTTTTTCCCTTGCAAAAGTGTAAGTGACAATAACTAACCTATATATATGGCTCATTCTTGTCATAGAAAAAAGGCATGGAAGGCAACGAATGGTGCTGGTTTGCAACCTGCAATGGATTGGTATATAGCCATTTTAATCACATCGACATAATCTCATTCATTTCTCTCTTTCAGGATGCTGGAACATCCAGAAGTTTCTGATGAACCTGAAGAAGAAGAAGAACAACCAAAAGAACTAGGCTCTGAATCAGTTCAAAAAGAGGAAGGCGAAATACAACAAGGAGAACAAACTGCTTCTAGTTTGATTTGCAATGATTGCCAAAAATTATTCCGTGATGGTAAAATGATGATGAGCTCAAAACAATGATGAAAATTCATCGTGTTTTTCATAGCAACTGGAGCAGAAAGACATGCTGCGAGGACAGGACATCAAAATTTTGCTGAAAGCACTGAAGTTATAAAACCATTAACCGAAGAAGAGAAGAAACAAAAGTTAGCCGAACTTCGATCTCGTATGGCTGAAAAACGCGCTATACGTGAAGCTCAGGAGGCAGCCGAACGTAAAGAAGCTGAAAGGATTCGAAGAAAAGCAGGAAAAGACATAATAGCTGCGAAGGAAGAGTTGCAGGCTAAGGAGATTAAAAAAGCCTTTGAAATGAAGAAGAAGGAGAAAGAATTAGATCGTATTGCAAAGGCAAAGGTGAAAGCACAGATTGAGGCAGATAAAAAGGAACGTGCAGCAAAGGTAATATGAAAAAAACAAATGGGTATTAAACTTGATTAAACGATTATTTACCTTAGAGAGAAGCAGCAAAGCAATCTCAAGCAGAAGCAGCAGCAGCACCAGCTGCAACATCAACATCTCAGCCAGCTGTTAAAAAGGAATATGGTGATGCACGACTTCAAGT